GTTCTGCTCTGCCTGTACCTTCACCCACACAATGCCGCTCTTGCCCCTCCTCTTGAACCCCTAGGGAGGCCTGCTGCTCCTCCCATCTAGTTCTCCCTGCTCCGACAGCCCATCATCCAGAGCTGGGGACACAGCAGGGGACTGCTTCCATGAGTCCTGCTGCTGTGAACCACTCTGACATCCTCCTTTGCAGCAGGGGGTCCACATGCTGGCTCTTGGCCCTGGGATGTGTTCCAGGATTCTTGCAAGATGCCCCCTTGCCGACTTTGACCTGACTCATGTATTTTCCAGTAAAATTCTAACAAAACCCTTCCTCCTTTGGCTCATGGCTGCAAGGAAGCTTACAGCTGTCAGGAGTCTCTTCTGAATCCCACGGTCATCAGAAACAGGGTATCTTGTACCCGAGTCACCCACCAAAATACCTTCCACCTTGAGCTTGGCTCTTGGGAACCTCTTGCATCCTGCCCAGGTGAACAGCAGAGGTGATATGCCCGGAGGCGGCCCTCCATCCTCCTCCACGCTCCATCCTCCACCCTCCATCCTCCATCCTCCATCCTCCACCCTCCATCCTCCTCCGTCTGCCTGTGCTCTCCCTGGCAGCAGCTAGGGGAGGGCTGTCCTGGAGTTCACATGCTGGGCTCTGTCAGCACGGAGTGCCCAGGAGGTCGAAGAGCTCAGTAGGCTCAGCGGAGAGCCAGACCCCAGGCTCCTCTTCTCAAAGGCTCTCCCAGGCATAAGGGGTGCACTGCTTGGGAGAGCACATTTGTCCTGCTCTTTACATGTCCTGCCAGGACTGTCCCCTGCAGTGACTTTCTGGGCTTCTCTTCCTTTGGTGGAAGTGAGTGACAGAGCCCAAGCTAGCTACCTCTCATCACATTCTTCGGGGACACCTCTAGCGGCTCTGCCTCAGGATGCAGGGCAGTTGTTATCTGCTGTCTCTATGCTGACATGTTGGGGTTGCTGACACAGTTTGGTCACTGTAAGGAGAGACCCCCAAGTGTAGGTTTGTGGATGGCAGGGGGCAGTGACTGGAAGACACTGCCTTGCTGAGCAGAGCCCCTTGGTGATGCTGGGTTATGGAAAGAACTGATCCATGTCTTCAGTGCTGGGCGAGAGCAGTGCCGTGCCCCTAAAAGGAGAGTGAAGCCTGTGCTGCAGAAGCAGCCTGGCCAGGGTACCTTTCGGGTGACTGTGCTGGGGACGAGAGGGCCTGTGCTGGGACTTTTTGGCAATGATGAACAGTACCCCAGAGCTTCACAAGACCATGTTCCATGTGACCTCCTGATGTTCATGTGATTTGGAAGGAATCCAGAAGAAAAGAACCTGCTCTTGCTGGTTTGTTTTATATGTCCACTTGACAGGGTCAGCCCGCCCCACATTTGGTCAGACATGATTCAGGGCATGTTGTACTGTAGTTTGGATCCTGAATGCTCCCCCACAGGCCACATGTTGAAGGCCTGGCCCTGCCAAGGGAGCCCTAAGAGGTGGGGCATCCTGTTGGGAAGGGGCCCCTGGAGGGGAGTTGGGGCCCAGTCCTTTCTTGGCTCTCTGCTTCCTAACCACCACAGGCCCACAGGTCCTCTCTACCACGCGCGCCTGCCATGGTGGATCAGACATCACAGGCCCAAGGCAGCAGGGCTATGCGACCATGGGCTGGAACCTCTGAAACCAAAGGACCAGCAGGACCTCCTCTCCTCTTTCTTTGCTTTGTCATAATATGAAAAGTTGACTAACACCACAGCGGGGTGTGCTACATGCAATAAAGTGCTGGGGCTGACCCATGGAGCGCTCAGGTGGGCCTCATAGGGTCAGTGGCTACCGCTGTCCAGTGGAGGTCTGAGGAGGGGGGGGGGAAATTGACACTCTCCCTGCTCTGCCGGGTCTCCTGCTATATATCTTAGGACTTGTCTGTCTCCACAATCATATGAGTAGCTCCTCATAATGAATCTGTGTGTGCATGTGTGATCTGAGGGTTGGGTTGTCGAGGGAAGCGTGTTTATGTCCTTGCGCTGTGAGGTCCTCTGCTGTGGTTGAGTGGTGACTCTTCTTTCTGTACAGGCTGTACTTTATTTGCTTTTCTTCTCGAGGTGACTGGGAAAGGAGATGCCTCCCCTTACATGGGATTAATTACTGTCATTAGTTTTTGTTTTCCCTGCTAAACCCATAATTACAAACCTGTCAGTGCTCAGAACAGCACCACGTGTCCCCCTGCTGCAGGGCAGATAGAACCCAACACAGCTCCGTCTGGGGCCTGCTCTCTCCTCATACCTGGCTCACTCTCCTACCCTGGTTTCTAAGCCCGCCTTTCCTTCTGAATGACCACCAGCTGTCTGTGTTGCTCCAGTATTACCCCAGAGATGTCCCCGTCCAATGGCTGCAGGACCCAGGAGCTTCCCCCAGCTTGAACTCACCTCCCACCCCCTTAAACCCTTCATTCGTTGCCTTCTGGGTGACCTGGCAGAGACCCTGAGTTGTCTCTTCAGGACAGGCACCCAAGGGCCACTCTTGCTGCACACTCATCTGTTGCAGGGTTATTTCCTTTTGCACATGTGTACACCCGGAGTGACACACACACCTAGGCTTTCCTAGGATGGCCCTGGAGCTTGGAGCAGGACTGGGAGGAAAGGAGGGATGTGGCTGGCAGGGAGCCATGGGATGCTTCTGCAGTTCCCCCTTCCTGTCACCCTGGCTGGGCAGCCCTTTGTAAATCTGCTTCCCCTGTTTCCACTTCCAGGGTTCCTGGTGGTCCACCTCTCACCTGGCTACCCACAGCTGCCCTGGGTCTCCGGAAAACAGTGCATGTCCAACAGGCTGAAGTGCAGCAAGTGTAGGAGTTGGCAGTGCCAGCTGGTCCTGGTGCGGATATCTTCATGCTGTTGGTCCAGGGCTGCTCTGAGTGCAGCCTTTCATGCTGTCTTCTGTTCTGTTTGTGCTGTGGTGTTTTCTGGGAAGAGGGCAGGGCCAGACCAGCGAGCCCACCCCTCCTGTGCCCCATCTTCCTCCTCTTCCTCTCTCTCCCCCTTACCAGTCCTGAGGCAGCCAGGCCTGGTGGACTTGCTTCTCCCCTTTGTGTGTTACTCCTTCCCCTGCAGCTGGGAGAAAAATCTCTCCCGTGTCCCTGGCCCTAGGTTGAGGGAGCTGGGTGGAGTCACAATGAGTCTGGACTCAAATAGCAGCAGGAGGGCAGGGCCAGCAGCTCCACACCTCTGTTCTACAAGCTGAACACAGCACAGGTGTACACATATGGGCGCAGTTCCGCTGGCCTGGGAGAGCCTGATGGCTTTGCTCCAAAGATGAGCGAGTGACGAGCTGTGACAGGGACACAGTGCTGGCCCCTTAGGGAACAGAGAAGGGGATGAGCAGGATAGAGATGCAGAACTAACCCCCAAGGGCATCTATGTGCTGGCTGAGTGCCCCTTAGCTATGGGGACAGAGATGTGTAGGCAGATGGCAGATGGGCTCTGCTCCAGCTGTCTCTACTCTCAAGGCCCAGTTCCCTGGGCAAACCCACACTGTGCCTCCATCCTGCCTTTCCGGCTCCACATCCTGGACCTCCAGCTCTGGCTTCAGCTCTGCCCTCAGCAGGAAGTCTGGCCTGGAGAGCTCTGCTCCTCCCTTGTTCCCTCTGCACCCTTTTGGCCTCAGTGCCCCAGGCTGGCTGGGTGGGGCACATCCCCTTCTCTGTCTCCATGAGAGCAGACCCGGGTACCCACCCAGTTCTCTCCACAGTGACTCCTATGGCCTCTGGTGATGGTTGTGAGGACAAATGCCCCTGTACTCTGGTTTGTGTGTGACTTGTCAGCTGTCTGGGAGTTGTGTGCTTACAGAGCCACCTTCCATGCCTCCCAGCTGCCTTTACTGTGACAGCCATTCATGGGAGATGTCTCTGGCTGAGAAGTCACTAGTGGCCTGCCCTATCATTGACTGCATGGCCACACCCATCTTCCTGCCTCTGCCCTGATTTACGCAAAGCATCCTGAAGCCCAGAACTTGGTCACTGCCCTGCCCAACATCCTGACCCCATCTCTGCTCATGAACCTGCCTAGCTGCTCTAGGTATTAGAATTCCTCCTGCGTGCACAACGTGGCCATGCTACTCCCTGGCATCCCTGCCGACTCCTCTCTGTGCTTGGAGCCTGGTGCATGTGTTCCTCCCAGGTGTGACCTACACCTGACAAAGCACATTCACAGCTGGTTTACCAGCTGTCTTATCTCACTGGCAGTCTGACATCACCAGTGTGGTATTCCTCTCAGTGTACTGGAGACATGCACATACGTGCACAAGCACACACTTGCATGCAGTAGGGACATAAGATTGTTTTATATCCCAGGGTATAAGTCCCAGTAGCTTTCTGGAAATTGTCAGGGAAGGAGCGTCTGATGATGATGGGAATGACTGTGTACAGTCTAGCATGGAGTGCTTGCCATGTGGCCAGTGCACATGAGAAATGCACTGAACTTTGCACTGCTTATATAGTGAAACACTGATGGCCACCAGCCTGGATGGCCAGCTTACTAACCCCATTCTGGCCCCCATGCCTCCCTGTTCACAGCACAAGCCACATGTGTGTCAAGGACGCCTTCACTGCCCGTGTACCACCTGCCTGCCAGCTGGGCTGGGACCTGAGCGCCTGCCTCAGCCTGCAGACTCCTCTCAGACACCAGACTCTGGCAAAAGTGCCCAGGAGGAAGCATCCCATGCTGGCTATCCCCTTGGCCCTTTGACCTGGGACCTGGCTTTCCCTATGTGCGGGAAGACACAGCTTCCTCAGGCCTGGTGACATAGGCCACACAGCAGGTTCTGGACTTGCCTGGCCAGCAAGGATGTCTGTGTTGCCTGCACACCTGGCCCACCTGCACTTCCAGCACCATCGGAGCTGGTCACCTAAGCAGCTTTTGGGTCACAGACGTTAAGAGGCAGAAAAAGGGTAAGCACATCAATCTTACCCTCCTTAGCTAAATGACTGAAAATGAGGAGAATGAAACAAGCAGACCAGACAGTGGCATCCTTCGTGCGTTTATTAGGGTACAGCTCAATTTTCCAGACCAGAGCCAATGTCCCTGGCTTTAGGCACACCCCTCCCAAGCAGTCCAAAGGACACCCTCAGACATGACATCTGAAATGCCACTTCATTTCTCTGACAATGACTCCTTGAAATGCATATACAATAAATAAATAGAAAATATATCTTTGTTCATGGTGACACCTACAAGAAATATTTATATACAAAACACACTGTACATCCAACTTCCGAAAAAGGACCAGCTAATTCGGCAACAGGAAAAAGACAAGCATTTCGGAGGATTGTTATTTTCCTTAGAGGTCCAACTCACTGTCATTTACAAACAGAAAGAACAGCAAGAACGGTTTTCTCAGCATTAAGGAAATTTGTGCCACCCGCAAAGTGCCTAGTCATTGCCTCTTGGTGAACATTTTAGGAAAAACAATTTTATGTACAGAACCTGTCATTTCACATATATGTACAACTCTGAGACATTTCCAATAGACATCTTCAGGATGAACTGACCCAAAGACATTCAGCGTTCCTGGCCACCCCAAAAGTGATCGCATCCTAAGTGGTTCACAGTATGAGGCCCTTGTGTTGGAAGAGCTAGAGAAGTCAACGGCTACACAAGAAGGGAATGAGGTCACTGCCTGCTCAGCTCCCCAGAAGGATCCGTCCCATGCTTTGGGCCCTCAAAGCAGCTGTGTTTAAGAGGCAAAGTCCTGCTGTCACCTCCCAGTGGCTGAAAGACCTTTCCGGCAGTGGGTTCAGCCTGGGGAGTGGGCTTTGGGACAGAGTATCAGGGGTGCAGAGGGATCCAGCAAGCCCTCTTTCAAAGAAAGAGTTTGTGGCTGGGGCAGAGTGGAAACACATGCATTCAGGAGCCCCCGGGAGGCCACAGGCTATGTTCCCTGGTCCAGGGACAGTGTGAGACCCATCAGGGCTCTGAGCAGTAGATAAGAACAGTATCTCTTTAGACTTCTCTGTGAGTTGAAATGGCTCACCAGGAACTTAGGGGGACACCATCTACAGGCCTTGCTGTGGGACAGCAGACACAGTTAGCACCAAGGGAGTGACTACCACCGTGGGGCTCCTGGCAAGGGCTGGTGGGCAGTGTGAGCAAAGTGATGGCAGTGCAGAGACCCTGACACCCAGAGGAGGGCAGGTGGGAAATAGCCACCAGGTGAGGATCATTCTTCTTCTCTTTCCATGGAAAGGGACCAGATGTCTTCTGGGAAGCTACTTCAGGTAGCTGGTCCCCAGGGCCAGCTGTTGAGGCAACATGGTGTGGCAGCAACTGCTGGAAAGGGGTCTGGGCTGCCCTGGCCACGTGCCTCTCCTCACCCAGGACTTCATCTTCCTCGATGCTGACCGAAGGCTGAGGGTGAGCCGGTCCCTTGTCCCCGATCTGCACCTTCTGAGGGCTGGATCCATAGGCTCAGGGGAGTACCAGTCCAGCCCAACCCCCCCCCCCACCATCTCTGTCCTGTGTGGGTCAGCTAGCAGAGGACAAAGGTGACCCTGCAGTCACCCGACTGCAGCAGGTGAGGCCAGGAATACACTCACTGCTGAGCCACCCAAGAGGCCACCAGCCCCTCTTCACCAACAAACAGCCCTTCACTCCCACCATACAATGTGTCCTCCCAGCACCCTGCACCTGTCCCAACTCTGATGGGCACTGGCCTTCTCTTCTTTCCACCTGGCAGGCCACCCTTCAGCTTGCACATTCCTCATCTCTCTACCCATGGGCCCCAGCACTCTTGTCCTACGAGTCCACTGGGAAGATTGTTTTTGGCTGCTGCTGGGTTCCAGTACAGACTTCTGGCTTCACAGTGCAGAAAGGCCTTGGTTCCAACATGACCCTGGAGTCTCCCAAGAGGCAGCCACTCCCCAGGGGGCCAGCTGCAAGCTCTGTCTACACAGCAAGGGCTTGTCCTCGCTCATGGGAGTAAAGATCTTCTGAGGGCTGGGATTCTCATTCCTACACTGCCCCCTGACACATCTGCTGGTGACCACGGGATCTGCAGGTGACCCAGTCCTTCTTGCCACTTCCTCCCTGGGCCAAGGATCCAACCAAAGTGGACCTTTGCAGGCAGCACAACCCAGGCCACCTCACATCCCTGCAGAAGAGGCACGGATAGGAAAGAAGCACCCGAGAGGCCAGCACCGCCCCCGCTGCAGGTAGATGAGTGAGTCGGGGCGGGTGGCAGCACCAGAGGTCTCTGACATTCTTCCCTTGGCCAGCAGGACTGACAAGCCATGTCCTGGGGAGCCATCCACAGAGCTGAGAGCCAAGGGTCTGTAGCAGAGTCTCCCACAGTGGCACCAAGGTGGCGGCATCTTCACAGCTGCCTCTTCCTCACCACAGGAATGGGCACAACTTGGAAGATTTTGGCCTTGTGCTCCTCAGTCTGCAGAGTCACCCAGGTGGGCCGGAAGCTGCCTTTGTAGCCAATGAATGCCAGTTTCTCTGGAAAGCAGGAAGAAGTCATGTGAGCAAAACCCCAGGAGAGAATGGCTACAGCCCACCCCCTCACAGGGCTACATTGGACACTCCATCTCCTGGGAGGGCTCTGGGCCCAAATGAGATGGTGCCTGGCCCTTGACTGGGGTATGCAGGCCTCCCCAGGCCTCAAAGCCTGTGCCTCTGGGGAAAGTTCCTGAGAATCGTGCCTCTAGTTGACCTGTGGTCATCAGCAGGTTTCTGAGGCCTCGTGTTCTCCTCTGTCCTCAAGGTTACTTCCTGAGCCCTGTCCATCTGTGGTCTCCTGGGGGTGGGAGTGCCTGGTACGGCCCAGCAAAGGACTCTAGACCCCGGGCCCTCACAGCACTGCTGCTTTGCATGTCAGAGCCCGACTGTCCTAGGGGACAGGAATCCATGTCTACACTCAGGAGTGACCCAGCCCAGCAGGTGGCACACATTTCTCACCAGTGGCAAAGTGCCACATGACTTAGTGACCTTATGCCCATAAGTTTTCGGCAGTGGGGTCTCGGGCCTGAAAATGATTCCAGCACTGTCCTGGGAAGGGGCCTTCCCCTCTCCTTAGGCTGTCCTATCTTGCCTTGAAGGACTGTCATTACCCCGCTTCCTCTGGGTGCTATCTGGCACCAGCACCTTGTTCTGAGCTTTGCGTCCCCATGTCTTTCATACTGGGGGTACAGGAGCTCAGAACCCTGGCTTTGGGTTAGGAAGGTTACAATCCAAATCCTAATGTTTAACAAGCAGCTTAACCATGATCCTCGGCGTCTTGATTTTAAATGGAAATAACCGCTCCTGTTGTTGTATGAGTTACTAATGAGCAGCACCTGACCTCTCTCCTGGCCGCCTTGTCCAGCACAGCTGAGAAGTCAGGGCTGGACTTCACCACAGACATCTATCTGCATAAGCCATGTCGATTTTCTGGGCTTTAATTTTCTCCCTATCTGCTTGTCCAGAAAACGAGAGCTTTGCAAACTGCAATCAGCTGTACGAATGCTGGACACCAAGGTCCAGCAGCTGGGATGTCAGTGAAGACAGAGGGCCCCCAGCTCATCTGAGTATGGGAACTGGGTAGAGAGGGGTAGACAGAGCCACTTTCATGATGACACTTGTGTTGAGCAAAGGGCCACTTGTTGAGCAGATGGGTGCATGACTCTAGCAATTTTTTTTTTTTTTTTTTTTTGTCTTTTTCCTTTTTATCGGTACCGGGGATTGAACACACGACACCTGCTTGCAAGGCAGGCGCTTATGCGGCTGAGCTAAATCCCCAGCCCCCAACTCTAGCAATTTTCTTTTTAGTGTCTGACCACAAATCGAAACGCACTTACTGCACTATATGGATGGACAGTAGGTGGCATCTTGCCCATCCCTGTAACTCACTAGGTATGTCCAAAATCTACATCCATGTGTAGTGACAAAGACTATTCTGGACTCTGTGAGAGCTTACAGCAGTCTTCTTGACAGAGGGTGCGATCTGCTCTGGCCTGTGGCGTGAAACTAACTCACTGTGTTTCTTACCTTTTAACCTGAGACCCCGTTCTGCCCCCAGCTTCTCCAGCACTCTGGTCCATGGGCCTCTGGTGACGTATCTTCCCTTCGATGCCATGACTACTATGGAGCTGAGAGAGAAAGGCCCAATCAGATGACTGGAATGGGGAGAAACTGGGCCAGGTATGTGGTGGATGCTGGCTCATACACAGGAGTTCAAGGGCCTGGCCAGGGACTCAGGAGAGGGCAGCCGAGCTGACAGGCTCTTTCCATGTGGTGACAACATCCTGAGTACCCTCCCACACATCTGGCCACTGTTGGGGCCCTGGCCTTCTCCAGCCTGCATATGGTCACTGCTTTCACACGTCTGTCCCCAAGCAGGACAGAATAAGTGTAGAGAGCGCAGCATCCTTGATGCATGCTGGCACCTATGCCACACATGCAGTTCTCCATGTGGATACTGTCATCTCTGTTTGGACAGAGCCAGCAGAGGCAGGGTGGGGGACAAAGCCCAAACTGGTGGCAGGAGGCAGAAGGGAGCAAGAAAGAGGGTAAACAAGGAGAGGGGAGTCTTCTGTCAAACTATAAAATCATCCAGAGCTCCCGATGGGACTGAAGCCCTGGGGACCTGATGTATTGGCTAACTGTATGGGCTGCCCACAGCCGATCTTCTGAACCAGGTTCTATGTTTGAAGCAGATCTCCCTGCGCTAGCTTTTTTGCCTGTGTCTCTTTTGGAGTGTCTTCTGGTTGTGGGCTTTGTGCTGCCTAGAGCTGCCTCCTCTATGCTGCAGGAAGAGTGTGACCTGGTTTGACATCTTCCCAGGAAAGGGCAAAAGCGCTGCGTTGTTACATGCTGGGCTGTGAACGGGGAGCCTGAGTAAACAGTTCCAGCAACTTGAGAGGCCCAGCTGGAGGGGAGCTGTGCTTGGGAGAGCAGAGGTCATGCCCAGCCTGAAGATCCCAGCTTAAGAGCTGGGCATCTGCCTACTGCAGTGGACTGTGTGAGTTCCAAGTGTGGGGAAAACAGTCATGCTGCTCCAGACGGGGAACTGAGCACATCCCTCTGAGACAGAAAGCAAACCAGGGCTGAAGCTCACTGGGGCTTCCAGCTCACATCCCAGAGGAAGTCTGCAACCACAGACCACAGTCCAGACAGGGAAAAACTGGACAGGCTCTGGAACCCCACGCTACCCTAGTCCAGGTCCCACTGGGAGCAGCAGAAGGGCTGTTGGAAGACAGAGAGCCTGCATGTGGAGAGGGTGGGGTGATGGAGGACTGCAAAGGAGCTCAGAGATGGGCTCTGAGACCTGCAGAGGTCCAGGGTCATTGCAGATGCATCCTCACCCTTGGATTTGGGCCTGTTTCTGGGAGGACATTCTTCGAGCTTTGGCTCCTGGCTGGGCAGACTTGAAGGAAGGCCCTGGCTTTGGGACAGACAGGGAGGCAGGACTCCTTCCACCCACCAGATGTCACCCAGATTCACTCTTCCTGTCCTGCCGGGAGCCTCTGCCTGGTGCCATCCCCAAGGCTGGAAGCCCCACACCAGCTGAGCAGCTGCCTTCTTCCTCCCCTGGGCCTGTGATGGGAGGGCAGGCTCGCTGGCATCCCTGGAGGGAAGAGCTATCCTGCTCCTCCCCTGAGTTTCCCAGGAGGTCAGTGAGGGGCGAGTGGGACCCAGTCTCCGCCTGGCTCTCCAGTGCTGGCCCAGAAGGGGCTTGTGGCAGCTGGGATTCCCCTGGGGGACATGCAGCTGCTGCACCCAGCTCCAGACAGTGCCCTTGTGTCTACATCCTGTTTCATTTTAGAAAAAAGTCTTCTGACCAAAACCAGCATGAAAACTGCTACTGTTCTCTAGGTGGCAAATATGCTTTCCTTCTGCATCAATCTGTACATGAAAAATCTAACCCTGAAGCAGCAGGCTGGCATCAGAGAGACAGCAAGTGCAGTAGGCAAAATCCACTCTGCAGACTCTCCCAATGCTCCGCTCGCCAGGCCCACACAGATGGCACATCAAGAAGGTGTTTGTTTTCTCTCCTGAGCTTTCACTAAGCACCCACTACATGCCAGGCACCACATTATGCACTCAGACTTCCTTCCAGGCTGTGTCCCCTGCTTGACTTCTGTGCTCATCTGACCCTCCTGGTGCTGGGATGAAGGGAGAAAGACCGTGGCATGGCATCCAGGCTTCTGCATGGATGGGGCAGCAGGTGTGTGCCCACTCCTGCTGAGAATTTCTGGAAGGATGAAAAGCCCTCACCAGGGAGGCAACAGGGCTCTCAAACTTGGAAGGTGGTGGGGGGCTATCAAAGGTGGCCAACTTGGGACACAGGTGAGCCCAACATTTGAGAAGCTCAGACTGAAGGTGGGGAGACTGAAAGAGGGGGACAATGAGGAGGTTCTGCCCAGTGTTGGCAACCAACAGGGAAGGCTGGGCAGGGCAGAGCAGGGCTGGAGAGGACACACAGAGGGACCGACAGGGACTGTGGCAGAGTGTGAGGGAACGGGAGAAGAGCCACACATGCAGCCCAGATTTGGGTCTGACTGCTGGGTTAACAATGACAGCTTAATCCAAAAGAGAAAAGGGAAAGAGTGCCTGGTGTGTGGTAAAGGCAAGAAAGGGGACATTGTTCCATGGGAGACGTCCAGGTGGTGTCTCTGGGCAGCTACTGGCTGCAGGCATCTGGGCTCAAGAGATATGGGCTGGTAGCACTCAGGAGCCAGCAGTTTTGGGATCATGTTGAAGGGGTGGGCATGGATGAGGTCACTGCAGAGAGTGTATAAGATGGGCAGAGAGCCAAGAGCCATCCACTCATGCAGACAGCTTGTCTGCCTTGGCCAGGCCTGTGTCCCCGATAGCCCTCCTCCAACACAAGTGTCTGTGTCTATGGGCAGACTCGCAGGATGCACCGTGTTCCCCAAACCAGGCAGCACAAGGGCAGTGATGGCTTGCAAAGAGGGGAGAGGCTTGGCCGTGGCCTGACCCACACACAAAGGCAGGCACTCACTTGTCAGGGATGGCTGCCACGTAGCTGAAGATCTGCCAGGGGATACCCTGCAGGAGGGAGCTCCTGAAGATGCCCTGGCTCACCACGTGCCCCTGGCGCCCATCAATCACCACCACTTGGACACCATCTTCCAAGCTGGGATATTTTCTCCCGTCCACCTGTAGGGCCCAAGCAGCATAGATGTGAGGTTCTCCAGCCTGGGCATTTCCTGTGCAGACCCTGAGCACAGGTTGCTTATGCAGCTGCTCAAAGTGTAACCCCCTTATTTCCCTCCAGTCCTCTGGAGTGGGTTGAATAACAGCACCCCCAAAAGATAGGTCCACCAGCATCTGTGAAAGTCACCTTATTTAGAATAGTGACATTGCACATGTACTGATTAAACACATCCATCTTTACTTTCTGTAAAGATCTCAGGGTGAAATGAGGCAAGACTTTAGGATAAGTCTTAAATCCGATGACTGCCCTTACACAGAAAGGCAGAGGGAGATATGAGATTCAGACACACAGAAGAGGTCACATGCAGGTGAGGCAGGCGTGGAGCAAGGCACCTGAGGACCATGGGCCTTGGGGGTCCCCATTGTAGCTAGGAGCGTAGCCTGACCTTCATGATGGACTCCTGGCCCCGGAACTGAAAGACGAACTTGCCCCTGGTCTAAGCCCCAGGTGTGGGAACTTGTTGTTGTTTGTGGGGGAGGCAGGGGCTCACTATGTAGTACTTACGTAGCCCAGGCTGCCCTCAAACTCACAGCAATCCTCCTGCACCAGCTTCCCAGGTACTGGGATTACAGGCAGGCATCACTACGCCTGATGTGGAAACTTGTCACACAAACAACCGCAGGAAAGCCACTGCCCTAGGATTCATGTGTTCTAGGCTGCTGCTCACCTGGACGTAGGCAAAGTCGCTCCGCAGGTGGAAGTAGTGCTGCCGGGAGCTCTCCACTTTGACCTCCAGGAAGTGGTCCTTGGACTTCTGGAAAATACACATAGCCAGGTGGCGTCAGGTCCAGGTGTCAGGACACAGCCGTGGGGCCCAGCACCGTGTGGAGGGGTGCCCTCAGGTCTGGGCACAGTGCAAAGCACGCTGGATGTCAACACTCACCAGCTGTGTGCCTCGGAGCTTGGGGGGCATGGGCACATCCACCACAGCCCGCTCGGCGAACCTGGGGTAGGCGGCAGCCGTGCAGTCGCTGATGCCCGCGTGTTTTGGGATCAGAGCTTTAATCTTTATCCTCTCGCAGCCTTTCACAGAGCAGAAAGCGAACTTCTCCCTCTCATTCTGAGCTTTGAGCTTCAGGAACAAGAGCCTGCAGAATGAGGGTGTGGCGTTCATGGAGCGCCTCCCACGAGACGCTGGCCCTGTGCCCCAGCCTGGGCTGGACCCCGGCTAGTGGGGACCTTGTTCAAATGCAGTTGGGGAAATGAAAAGCTGAAGAAGCGGCTGATCCCAATGAGAACTGCATTCTATTCTGCCAGACGTGTATGGTGAGAGCTGCGAACGACCTCTCTTCGTCCTCAGCGCTGCGCAGGGAAGCAGCAGGGGGAGAAGAGCAGAGGCCCACCCAGCACCACACAGCTGAGAGTGGGCAAGCTGGACGGCCCATCCCCCCACTGTGCCCAGACAGCAAAAAGGATTCTGGCCCTGTGTTACATGAGGAGTCAAGTTGTGAAGAAACCACGGTACTGATTTGGGATTCACTATGGGATTGTATTCCTATGCTCAGAATGCTCTCAGGCAGGCCCCCTACCTGTGCAGTGGAAGATGTGCTCTGGGGGTCTTACGTACCCCTGCTCTGGGAGCTGAGCTGCATGGAACCCATTTGGCCTTGGAGCTGGGCTATGCCATGGTGCGTGGCCCCTGCCCAGGGCTTAGCTAACCAGACCAGGACACACTGAACTCACAGAGGGACTGCTTGCCAGGTAGCCGATGCTCAAGAGGAGGCCCTTCTCGTGGGGCTTAAACAGAAAGGTCCTGTGAACTACTGTGGCAACCCCTCTTTGTGTTTGCCCCTCCCGAGGTCTCCAGAGAGGGCAGGGGCTCGGAGTAAGAGGCTGTAGTGGCTTATATTTAGATGTCCATTACAAAGACTCATGTGCTTACAGGTGTGGGTTTTCAGAGGGAGCTGGATCTAGGGAGGGGAAATATGGATTACTGGGGTGATAACTAATTGAGTCCACTGCTTGGTTTAGCATAGTTCTTCAGGGGAAACCTCAATTTGGGTGTGGGTGGCACCACCCAAAATGTTTGTAACCTGGATAGTATAAAGGGGAAAGGGAGGCTTGCTTTGCTGTTTGCTCTCTCCTGCTTACCCTGCTATGGACTGTTTCTCCTCTGTGATGCTCTTCTGCCAGGCCACCCTGTCTTGCAGCCAGCTGACTATGAAATGAAACCTCAACAACCAGGTATTGGGAGAAAATGTGCCATGGACATTTTTGTTTTGTTTTGTCTTGTTTTGTGCTGGAAGTGGAATCTAGAGGCTCACACATGCTAGGCAAGTACTCTAATACCGAGGTACATCTCCATCCTACTGTATTTTTAAAATTCTGATTTACTGATTTCACTTTTTTTCTGAAATAAGTGTATTCCCTATAATCCATATGTATATTTAATAATGTTTGTGCTCCTCCCAAGGCTTACTGGCTTCAAAAATGTCACCAGTACACAGTGCCATCAGCATTAGGATTGAAGCACCTAGAAGAGTTTCCTGCACTACGTGGCATAATTTACCTGGTTATTTCAGGGCTGTGGGAGGGGATACAGTGCAGAGTGAAGCTGAGTCCTCCCTGCAGTCAGCAGGAGCCTCCTTACCCCGAGTCTTCATCCCAGTAATAGTGGCTCCTGCTGGGATAGCTCTGTTCTAATTTCTCCATCTGGAAGGTCCTCACAAAGGTGCCCGTCTTGGACGTTTGCTTGAGCAGGCGATTGTGAACATCGGAGAGGATAGAGAAGGTGGTGCCTCGTGGGTAACACAGTCCCACTCGGATCCAGTCACCCCTAGGACCAGAAGTAGGGTCAGTTCCTACTTCTGTTGGGAAACACTTAGAAAGACAGACCCAAGACTTCCTGCATAAAGAACTCTGAAAGACCCCTTGCTCTAGGTAGTGACAGAGTCTTAAAGTATTCCAGGAGACAGCCAAGAGCAAGAAAGATGACCAGATGGGCTAAGTGGGGTCCAAGGCAACCGGGGTGCTGAGGAGCAGCAAAAGGCATCTTTCAGTGCACCGTAGCAAAGGACTCAGGCTCCCATCTTTTTTTTTTTTTTTTTTCAGTACTGGGGATCGAACTCACAACCTCATGCTTGCCAGGCAGGCGCTTATGCCACTGAGCTAAATCCCCAGCCCAAGGCTCTCATTTTCTGCATCCAGTAAGTGTCTGTTTCACAGGATTCTGTGACAGGTCAATGATGCACACAGAAGACATTGAACAAAAAATACGAATCCCTACCCAGATGGCCCAGCTGCATCACTGTCCCTCACAGAGCCTCCGTCCCCTCTGTAAAATGGTGATGATGCCCATAATTGTCATCTCTTGAGCACTTGGTAATGCTATGTCCTGGGAGAAACACCTGTCACACATCCATCATCTTTTTCCATCTTCTGTGTACTCCTGAGCAGTCATGCTCAGCCTGTCTGAAGGGGGAAGGTCACCCATGTCCAGATGGGGTCAGCTTAGCTCCTAGATGATGTAAATCCTGGGGGAGTGGGCTAGCCACATCACCACTGCAGGGGCCAGTGGGCTAGCCTTGTCACCACCACTCTGAGCTCAGCCAGAGCTGACCCCAGCCGTGCTGGTCCTGGCCAGCACCCACTCACTTGTTGAAGTTGATGAGCCAGATGGCGAGTTCCGCAGGAGCCACCTGGTCCCAGTGGATGGTGTAGCCCTTGTGCAGGGTGATGACAGGCTGGTACTGCTGGTAATGGGTGCTCCTGGTGAGGGCCCCCTCCAGGTGGAGAGGGTGGCTGGGGAAGTCATTCTTAATGATCTTCATCCGCAAGTTACTGGTCTTGTAGGCCTGAATGTACATCTTTTAAAGCCCGGAAAGGAAACACAGGAAGCTGTTACCAGAGACTGCTGCAAAGGTGTCTGGTTAGTGTCTGGCTGCAGATGCAGTTTCAAAGACAGAGCCCTTTTTAGTAGGCTTGAATGGAAGACGGGCCAAATAAGGGATGTCTCTTTCTGCTGGTGGACTCAGCCCAAGCCATGCTGCGCAAACCAGCTAATGCTTTCTCTGTGTTTTCAAACAAGTGGTCTATGGAGGAGCTACCAGAGAACACTTCTGAGAAATTGCTTAACAGCCAGAAAGTGACTTTTGAAAAAAAGAGGGACATGTGGAAGGGAGAGGACCTTTTTCTACTGCAAAGGTGGCTCACAGCTGGCTATGGTTCTGACTGCATCTGGGAGTGGACTGGACTGCTATCCCTTACCTTCTGGTCCCTGTGGCCAGTGCATGGGGGTGGCACATGTCTCCTTCAGAGAAAAAACTGAAAGCAAGACCATAGGCCATGAGTCCAAGGACCAAAGAGCCAGTCTCGGTTTAAAGAGTCATCCTGTTTATGGCACATTCTCTGTTTGTAAGGTGACATCCAGTAGCTGAGGCTAAGGCAGACCAGCACACTGACAAGTATGGACATTGAGCCTTTGGAAAGACAGACTATCTTTCAACGCTAGTGTAATTATGTGTCAGATAGAAAGACAAACATCAAACACCACTCCTTACCCTCACCATGGGTGTCAAAGGTAAAAGGTTTATTAAGCACTTTGTAAGCCTCTAAGTGAAGGGAGGAGATGATTAACAATAATTAACCAGTAGCCAGTTGTGGATAATCTGGTGAACTCTAGCAGCCCTTTTCAGCAGAAGATGAGCAGTGTATCAGGCAGACATGGGAGGAGTTCCGGGCTCTGCATGGACACCTCTTGTGTGTCCAGTGCAGGCGCACACAAGTGGGTTTGGTTGTCCATCAGGGTCCAGGGCACCACATCCATGTTTTAACTCTGCCTCTGCCTCCCATTTGATCTCAGATCACTCACATCTTTCCTGGGACACCTTGGCCCTGACCTGTCCACTCGTGCAGCTGAGCCCCTGCCTGGGTCCTCCCACGGGGTTGCTGAGTGGGACAAGAAGACTTCCGGCTCAGGAGCCTGGGTCTCAGCCGGGTTCTTAGGGCCTCAGGTCCTTCCCATTGCTCAGCAGCTCTCTCCCACCCTCCCAGGCTCACCCGAACTCTGCGCCTGATCACACCTCCTGCTGAAAAAACCCCCTCTTCCCCTGTGCCCACCCCTTGCCAGTGCAGGCCCCACCTACCCTGTCCTTCCTGCCCCTGGCCCTTTCCCTTTCCGGGGACCTACTCCCTCGTGTCTCTTTCAAAATACCCGGTCTTTCACCGCAGCAGCAAAAAACATGCTTGCTTTGTGAAACACTCTTGGAGTCAGTGTCAATGTTAGCCTGAAAATCCTGTGCTTTTGTAGGTCCGGGGATGGCAGCCCAGGGGCTGCCACAAACCAGACACTCTGTCACTCAGCTGCAATTCCAGTTCTTCCCTTTTTACATTTTTTGTAATTTCGAGACAGGCCAGTCAGGCTGGCCTGAACGTGCAATCCTCCTGTCTCAGCTTCCTGAGTAACTGAGATTACAGGTGTGCGCACAGGGTCTAAACTGACAGCTGTTGGTCTCCTGTTTGTTTCTCTCCCTCACTCACTGGTCACTGGTCAAACAGTGCTGGCCACTGCACAGCAATGCTGACCAACACGAGCATAGTCTGGCCACGCTGTCCCATATAGTGGCCCCCTCAAAATGAGGTCAGCGTGGCTCAGGACCCTCATTCTAAATTTATTTTAATCAGTTTAAATTTTAAAAAAACAAGCAATATGAAATATGTTTTCCAGGAAGCACTATTTGCTTGTTAGGTAGGACCACATTTCAGTCTGTTACAGGTTAACATCCCAAATGGGTGGGCCTTACATAGGAAATGCAAGGTGGGTTTTGAAGTTTTAAAACTGAAAAAGATGGAAAATGTCTCACCAACAATTTTACATGGATCACATGTTGAGTATTTATGCTGCTGAACCAACCACAGATCACATGTTGAGATGATAGCATTTTGACTTCACATAGCTAAATAAAATATTACTAAAATTATTTTCCTGTTTCTTTTTTACTTTTTTAGCTTAGACACTAGACAATTTAAGATCATGCGTGGCTTGTATGAATTTTGACAGCACTGGGCTGAGGAAGCATTTTATGGCACCATCTGATGCTACCCCTACCTCTCACCAAATCATCCTGACGTTATAGACGAGGAAGCTGAGGCTCTGATTATATTCCCAAGATCACGGGTTTTTTTAAATTTATTTGGAAGTTTTATTTGGGGGTAGAGGACAGTGGTTAGCCTTGAATTTGATCTTGTGAAAATTCTATTAGGTAAGGGAGAAAAAGAATGAAAAAGAGAAAAAATTTCTCTATCCTTTTGTGGCCCAACACAGAGCCGGGGTACAGTAGGGGCTCACTGAGCGCATGTGTGAGTGAGCATGTGAACACCTGGCTCCTCACCTGTGCATAGCGCCCACTGCAGATGGCCCCCCTCCAGTCAGGGACGTCGATGCAGTCCGGGTGGCGCACCAGCCAGTTGTCCTCCTTGGTGAGGTAGGAGCCAGGGTATTCAGATACGGAGCCATCCACATCATGGAAGACGGATGTTTTGTCTCCATCCATGTCCAGTTGGTTGAACCAGGGCCCGGGCTCTCCGAAGAACACTCTAGAAGTGATCTGAACAGTTCCCAGGAAAGTCAGGCCATGCCAGAGAACAAGGAAACCAAGCCACCAGGGACCAGGGTGAAGTTTCTGCTTTCTGCTGACATTAGGAGTCAGCCAAGCCAAAGAGCTCTTGGGCACTGCAGGAAACCACTGGCTGACCTCACAGACAGGCCAGGAAAACAGTCAAAGGTTCAACTCCCAGGCCAGCAGGCAGCTCTGGCTCTGTTTACTGCATGGCCTGTGCTATAGGGGCCTCAAGGACCACACCGGAGTCCAGCTGCACAGATGGGCAGGGGGTTTGGGAAAGAGCAGGAATGGGATGACATAGGCGTCGTGGGGGTGATGGAAAGAAAAGTGGGGTTGCATATGCATGCAAGAGCACAGGAGGGTGTGTGTGCACATGTATGGAAATGAGGGAGAGCATGTATGTTTGTGGGGATGCCAAGAAGTCTTGTGGCATAAGCCCTCAGAGACTGTCATGACTGACCACCTTTAGTCCCAGGTTGACTCAAGTGAAGACACAAGTAACTCAGGTACTGTGTCTTCCCTCAGTGGCCAGAGACTGGGGGTTAGGCAGGAGCAGGAGCAGGGGAAGGGAGGACAGGGGAAGGGCCTGGCAACCCATAGCCCAGGGGAACTGCACCAGGATTCTGGGCAGCTGGGCGCATGGGCAGCCCTTGGAGGTCTTCTAGTCCCTCTTCCCAGGCTCCACCCATGGCAGGAGTCCCCTGTTTACGCTCTCCTCTCAGGGTGAGATCAACTAGACACTTCTGGCAGAGACCTCCCTTGGAAGCTGCTGGTGTGTCAGATGATCCGTGCCCACTCAAGTGGCCCAGGCACAAGACTCTGCCTGGAGAAGCCTTGGAGGACAGCCCCATGCATAGTCTGCCCTGAGGCTCCTTCTCCCAGCGCCTTAACCCAGGGCCACTTGGGTCTGTACTTTTCCAGCTGGGAGACAGAGCAATGGGCCGTGGCCCAGCCTACTTAGAAGAGGCCATTTACCCCTTGCGGGTGGCACTAGCCCAACCTCTTCCCCGGGGGATCTGTGAGTCACCACCTGGTCTGGTACTCAGGATCCCTGTCACCTCACACACCGGGACATCCTCAAAGGTGATGCCAGTCACATTGTTGTGTGGGCAGCTCTGCCATGCATTGTTCAGACGGAAGGCCAGGGCGCTGGTGTGCCGGCCCTCCAGGGCTACGAACTTCCGGAAGGTGCAGTTCTGGATGTTGATGGGGCCATCGTAGAACTGGATTCCTCTAATCGGAAAATTCCTGTGGAGTGAAGGGAGCCAGATGTCTGTCTGAGCACCATGTCATTTCCTCTTCTGGGATGAATGTTAAGAAAGACTTTCTGGGTAAAGCCATTCCTGATCTTTACCTCCAGCAACTCCTCCACTCCAAGCCGTTAATGAGCCATTAATTAATTCATTGAGAAATCACATGCAGAAACAATAAATATCAGTGAATGATTGCTGCATGAATGAATGACTGGATGGTATTGTGGGTAAATGGGGAGTGGATGAATGGATGGATGAGTGGATAAGTGAGTGTATGTATGGATGGGTGAGTAGATGGATGGATGAATGGATGAGTACATGACGGGTAGGTGGATGGGTACGTAATAGGTGGGTTAAGGGATGAATGGATGGGTGCGGTACAATGGGTGGGTAGGTAGAACAGATGGGGTTGGATAGATAGACAGATGGGTAGATGGATAGATGGGTAGTTGCAGGATTGATGGGTGGATGAATAGATGGGGTGGTTAGATGAATGGATGGTGGGAGGGTGGATGGATGACAGATGAATATCAATCTTGTTGCTAGCTTGACTCTTAGTAAAGGTCCTCCATTTAAACATTCCTCCCACCAGTTTCCCCATCATATGAAGAGTCACTAGTAAATACTGTAAATGCTACTGGAGAGTGCCAATATTATGTCCCTAGGGAGGGCAGCAGTGTTAGTCATTACCGCCTTAGTTTTAGTTGCTATAACAATTAAATCAGATTGAGACCCAGCTGAGGTTTTCTTTGTGAGTAAACCTTTCAGCTGGCAGTATGCAGGGTTTGGGAAACACAGAGGAAAACACAGAATGGGGGGTGATAAATGCGACTGCAGTGTGGCTTTCTGAGCTCCCCCAAGGGAAAAGCAGGCCCTGCTAGGAAAGCAGGACTAGAGTGGCAGAGGCGTCACAAGGCCTGGCACTGGATGGCAGGAAGGAGAGGTGGGAAAGGCTTTGGGCTGGTGACCTGGAGACTGCACTCTACCTGGGGGCTGCACAGCATGGGCCTCAGACTCTGAGCAGGACCTGAGGAGCCAGGACCTACGAAGGAGTGGCTGAGCTTCCTGTTGGCCTCCCTTGGGCCTGGCCACAAATCTCGGCTTGGGCATCTCCAGGCCCAGCACAAGTGCTTCTGCTGGTGCCTCTGTACTGGGGCAGGACCAACCCTTCCACAGGGTAAGTGCAGAAGAAAGGATGGTAGGAAAGAAAACAGAACAGAAGAGGGGTTGTTCCTGGGGAAGAGCTGTGCCCTATTGTCCTGGTCTTGCTTTTAGGCTTCACTCCCTTTCAATCCCCTTGTTATGGTTTGTGTCTGGATGTCCCCACACAGCCTCATGCAGTCATGGGGGGCGGGCTTCTAGAGTTTATGATTGATTCATGGAAAACGCTGGGATTATGGGAGAGTCCTACAACTTGCCCTGCGATGAGTAACCTACATACGATATGAAGTAGGGAAAGGAGCTTACTTTCTCTTCTCGGTTGTTGCTTTTGCTGTCTTCTGCCACCATGAACTGTTGCCCCTGTGCCACACAACCCTGCCTTGGAGCCAGCTGACTATGGATTCAAACCTTCAAAAACTGTGAGCTAAATAAACCTTTCTTTGCTTAATTTTGGGCATGAGATACTTTATTTCAGCAACAAGAGAAAAAGGCCTAAGACATCCCTCATAACAACCTTTCAGAGGACACCAAAGATTCCCTGCACCTCTCTATTTTTGTACCTGATTAATGTTGTCACCTGGAATCCTAATTCTTATAGGATTTGTGTGTTTTGCTGCTAAATGCTTTGGGTACAGCCCATTCTGCTAACACTATAGTTATAGTCCTGTGTTTCTTCACCTTCAGACCTAACTCAGTTCTGCTTAAGATGAACCAGCCACAATGGGTACTATCCTGGGCACATCCTGCAAGTAATCAGAACATGTGGCCTTGGGAGACAGGGTTTCTGCACAAGGAAATCCTAAGTATCAGGCAGAGTCATTGTGAAGACACAGGAAGAGTTCCCACATCCTGTAAGCTGCACATAGCAAGGGCTTCACAGTTCATGCTACAGGAGACACGAATTCTGCATTTGCAAAACTTTTCTGGGGATATAGGTGCACTTGGGTTGGAATTAGGTCTGTGTACTTGGTGTCCTGACTCTAGAAGCAGGAATTACACTTCCAGGGAAGAAGAGAAGAAAACATAGGGGTGCAAGAAAGGCTGACTCTGTCGCTGGGAGAACCGGATGGCTATAGCCTGAGAACCTGGCACCTCAGCAGAGGCACCCTGGAAGGAAGTGCCGCCCCAGCTGTGCTGTCCCAGGAGCTGTTCACTCATCAGCTCTGCATCCAGCCACCTGCTCCTCTCCTGAGCTCCTCCCCACAGCCTGCAACTCCAAGGAAGTCCTGCTACTCAGTTGTGCACATCTGGCTGCCAGGAAAGTCTCCTAGGCCCGTGTTTCCCCAGTGTGATCTGTCTCCTGGGTGACAACGGATCCCCATCTACAGGAGACACCACAGCCTCTGGATTGGCCACAATGGTTACGCTCCTATATGTGACACTTGAGCTGCCAGGAGGGGAACAAGGGACAGGGGCTCAAGGTCCCTCATCTGCACAGTGTGTTCCTATAACCACCGCAGGCCCACCCCACCCTTTTGACTTATCTTCAACACTGGGGTTTTTTTCACTTCACTTTCCCCTTCCAGAGTCTGCCCCTCAACCATCAGCCTTAGTCATCTCAGTGATTCCTGAGGCTACAGGGACAGAAGCATTTCCAACCCCAGACAGAAATCACCACCTAACTTCTCCCTCAGCCCTGCCAAGGCTAACAGCCCACTACTACCCAGCTGTGGCCCAGTTGCAAACCTACTGGCCTATGGGGAGGGTCCTTCCGCTGTGGTCCAGGCCGCCCGGGCCCCAGATCCTGTTATCCATCATTTCTGTGCCCACGTTGCCACTCTCGCCTACAAACAAGCTGTTCTTGATCTCTTGCTTGGAGCCTTCATCATATGGAAAGGTCCCACCACTGTGAAGAGATGGTGCTGGCAGCAGAAGCCCAGGGCAGGGTCCCCCAGACAGATACCCATGATACCCACAGACAGTTGCTGTGCACGAGGACCCTTCTCTTACCTGGCTAAGGTCAGACCGATGCCATTGTCAGCAAACCTGGGGACAAGAGCAAATGGTCAGGGTGCTGTCAGACCTGTCTGATGGGGGATGTGCCCAGCCCTCCAGAGGGCTTTGCAGAGATGCTGTGAGTCTGCCTGCCAAGCAGCAGCAGTATAATCTGGGCCCCTCCCAGTCTGTCTCAGGCTCCAGAGACACAGGTGATCCCATGGCTCTAGGATCTGCTGGTACCTGTGTTCTCCTGCAAGCCAGGGGCAAGACCCCTGTTGAGCCCCTGTCGAGCCCACTGTGATCTGTGGCCCAGGGCTAGGGAAGTGGGCCAAGCTTGAGTGGGAAAGGCTCTATGACTGCAGTCATTTCCTCTGCATCCTCAAGACTATTTCAGAGAAACACAAATATCTCACTTTCACACTTCGGGAAAGTCAGGCAGATGCAGTTGGGGGGGGGGGAGCCTGCAGCTGCCCAGCTGTCTGCTTCTTGCAGATGCTGCCCTTCTGCAGTCCTAGGACCTCAGCATCTGCCGGGAGCTGAGTCCCCAGGGAGGAAGGTGGTACAGAATCGGAGCTGAGCCTCCAGATAGCACGGTTCTTTGTCCTCCATCCCAGGCAGGCACAATGGTCTCTGCTTTCTCAGCCTGCCCTGCACACATCCTGCCACTCCTCTCCCTCAGGCTGGTTCTGTAAGGCAGGGCTTTCCTCTTTTTTGCCCCCAGCCCAGGCTGGCAACCAGACAGGACCCTCTGCTTACTTTTCCCCGGCCTCACAGACCCCCCAGTGCACATCAGTCCCTCCAGGCTGTGTTCCTGGGTGGGCTGCTCCCCAGCCTTCTTCCAAATATTTCTAATTCTGTCCCAGGCCCTTGCCCCAGCTCCCCACACCCTTTCATGCTGCACCCCATTCTCAGGGACTCAAGAGCTCCCTCCCTACACTGCTGTTACTGTGACACGTCACTCTTCCTGCCTCTTCTGAAGTCTGGGCATCTTTACAGAGTATTTCATCAGCATCTCAAATGCAACACATCTGAAACAGCACAACGGTCTTCCATGCAGCTCCTAAACGAAGGCTCAGTGCCAGCCTCACGCCCATAACCACAGTTCTCCCTCACTGGGCCTGTTTCAGTAGCACTGCAGCTGCATCCTCACCCTCACCCACATCCTGACATGGCCACAATGGGCAAATGCCCAGGGTGCTCTAAAGGACTCCTGGTTCCCTTTGGTCCTTGGCCAGACAAGCCGTCAACTGAGGCACTGCAGCCCTTGGCTGGCTGGATTCTGGGCTTCCTTGGAATGAGTATGGGAGGATGTCAGGAAATGTGCCCTGCGGGCAGAGGGTCCACAGGTTTTACTGCCCCATGTCTGGCATTCACTGTGTCTGTAGGGACCAAGTAGCAAAACGCCTATGAGAGCAGAACTGAAAAACCTGTTGCACTTAGAACAGGGCAGAGGATCTCCTCACGGACCCGCCTAGTCTCTTCCCTCAGGCTTCCATCCCCACCTTCGAGGCTCACTCTCTGGGCCCCCGGGGCTCAGTGCTGGGGGTGACCTGGAACTCATGGTGGGGAGATCTTCCCTGCTGAGCTGCAGTCTGCCATGGCAGCTGCCGATGCCCTCTAAAGCCACTGGAGCAAGTGCCCGCTTCCTGACGGGCCCTAGGAACCCCAAGTTGGCAGCCTTCTTCCCCTCTACCTCCTCTAAACTAATGGCCTCTTCTCCTGTGTGCCAAGCAGGCCCCCCTGGAGCTGGGTCAGTGATGCCCGTTTGTATCCCAGGGCCTCCCCAACACATCAGCCTCTTTCTTCTCAGGAGCCACCTTTCACCCCCTCTGTGACTCTGTTCCCCTCCTTGACACTCCTGCTCCCTTGTGACTTTATTTACCCTTTAACTGGTCACCATAAAGTGTGCATTCATCTCTCCAGTGTCTGAATACAAGAAGGTAGGCAAGGAAAACACTCCTCAACACCTCCCACCCAGCCGCTGTCCTTCCAGTCCCTGTCCTGTGGGGCCAGGGCCTCTGCTCAGCAACGGTAGGTGAGATGAGTCCGAGACTAGTGTCGAGCCCTCGGTCAGTCACTTCCTGCTCTTGCGGCCTTGAGAAATTCACTACACAGAGCTTCAGTTTGTAGCCCTAACTTAGAGGCAGTAAGTGGCAGCCCTGAGAAACACAGTCAGAAAGAAAAGCATCCCGGGCTTTGGTACAGAGAGGAGCTTGGAAACTGACTTCCTGTCCCTCCCTTTGCTGCCTGGCCCAGTAGCCTTGGGACAGAGAAACCCAGTGACCATTGAGGCCAGTCTCAGCAGTGAAGCCACGGAGCTGCCCTCACAGTTTGCTGCAGATGCTCTGGCCACTGCTGCCCTTTGAGTCACTGCCTGGCAGGAGGAAATAAGGCCCTAGAATATTGTATGCGACCCTCTGCCTGGCCATGCCACATGCTGTCCAACTCACCGGCAGCTGTCCAGCCACACATCCCCGCCACGCAACCAGGCCCCGTGGTCCTGGTTCTTGTACGCCGTGAAGTGCTTGATGATGGCAGGCTCCCGGGGCTTGAGCGGGTCGGCATCCTGGTGCGGGCTGTACCTGGAACACAAGTACGGGGTGCTGGGGTCTTTGGTATGGATGCCTTCCAGTGCCAGGAGCCCAGTGGGAGCACTGATGAGCAGAACTGGTCAGCCATGCCGGGCTTTGAAACGGCCTGAGCTCACTGCAGAGGCAGGCCAGCCCCACACAGCCATAACAACCACTTTTCTCACCCAACAGCACCAGTGGGGAGCCCTCCCCAGGGGAGAATTCAGATGACCTGGAGCAATGCTGTCTGCAGGGAGTTGAGACATGAGGCCCCAGAAGGCCAGTCAGCCACCTGCAAAGCTGCCTTTCCCAGCTACGAAATGGCATTCTGGGCCTGGATGCTCACTGGACATAAGCTTGTTGTTAGTGCTACCTACTTTTGATGGAGACCAAGCCATGAGACCTTTCAAGGGAGCTGCTTTTGCTAATGACCTCAAGGTGTGCCAGCAGCCCTGGTCTTCCACTGAGCGCCAGGATGGTATGCGGGTGTGGCCTGCATGCCCTTCGTGTTGTATCCACAGTGAGCCCTCTCTTCTCACCTTTGTTTGCAGCCTGCCTTGCAGTGGCACTGGCCAGCCTGCTGGCTTACCGGGTATCACTTGGCTGGAAACCCAGCAGCCTGAGGAATTTCTTTCTCCCTTTGGCTGCTGGAGCCTGAACCCTCATTCAGACTCTATCTGCTCAGACCTGCACCTCAGTACTCCCACAACTTGGAGGCCCAGCCAGTGGAAGGGACTCAGTGATGGCCAGCATGGTGAGGGGTGCAGGATGGGCCAGGACAGAGGGAGCTGGGACTTCCTGGGGTGTGGCTTCCTGAGCGGACTACCTGGCTGAGATGATAGACAGGAACGGCCTCTTGTCCTTGGCAGAAGCCTCGGTGGTTTTAACCCCGTTGTCTATGATCATGCCAGCCTGCGGAAAAGAGACACATTAGCTGTCACTGCAGGACACAAGCCTTACCTCAAGCTCCACTTTGTTCTTGAACATGCAGCCAAACCAGCTGTGCTATGAGTCTGCAAGAATGGAGCAGAGGGTCTGCAGCAAGGGAGGAGATGACCTGCCACATTCGCCTCACTCAGAATGAGTCTGATTGAAGTCTCTGTAATGGGGAAACTGAGACCTAGAAAGGGAAACTATCCTGCTGGCAAAGTCCACACACAGAACCCACTCTGCTCTGGACAGTTATTATCCCAGCCCCAAAGCAGGGACACGGTTGTGCACCCCGGGAACCTTGTCCGCAGAGATGCAGAGGAGATGCTGAACTTCAGCTACATTGTATCTGCCCGGGGCAGCTGCCACCTGCTCTTCTTCATGCCTGCTTGACACGAGCAGAGAACTTGGCCTTTTCCAACTCCAGAGGCACCGCCCTTGTCCACCAGGGGGTATTGCTGCCACCACCCGCCTCATCTTTCTTACTTCCTAGTCCCCTGGACCTCTCATGGTCACCCACATGCATCTCTCTTTGGGTGCCTGGCAGACTCCAGCTAGTGCACCCCTCACTGGATTATGATTCAGCCCTGGTCCCATGCATTTAGAGCCTCAGCTCTGCTCTCACAAGCTATGACCTTGACCAAAGTCACTCCTCTCCTCAGTCTCAGTGCATCGTCTTTAGAAGGGGTTGACTGCACCTGTTCCACAGGACAGCTGTGAGGACCAAAATACCAGGACCTATTCCAGGGAACCCCCATCTTCAGGGGTGTGTAGTCAGGGCTCAGGACTTTTGCACTCGCATGATCAGGTCAATCCTGACCCTCAGGTTAGGCCACCTCCCAGCAATCACAGTCCCTGCCCCAGCAAGGACACAGCTGTGGAACCAGCCTTGGTGTGGGGAGTCTACCCTCTTGGATTCTTTTTTGCAGGGCCATGCTGTTGCCCTCTGCCTAAGACACCATCTTCCATCCTGGTTCCTGAAGTCTCTGCCCCCACTCCCCTGATGAGTGTAAGCTCAGGTCTGCTCCGAGACTGCATCTCTTCTCTTTGCTCTTCCTTCTGGTGGGACCTTTTAAAATATTTCTTTGACCCAAGAAGCATCTATTCCCCTATATACCTTTAGGAACTGGACCAAAACACCATCCGGGCTGCACATGGCCCAGCATCCTCTGGACCACGTCCTCCTGGGGAGCATCTCTGGTCCCAACCTCACCTAGGTTCTATGCATAGTCTTAGCTGCTGACCCTCTGGGAGGCCCCCGATGGCCTTGAGGCCCTGTTCCCTCCCCAGCACCTGCACTGAAGCATGGTGAGCACTTAGGAAGCGCCAGTGAGGGGCGAGGATGACAGAGGATGCTTTCACTTCCCCACTGCATGTGTGGCTCTTTGTGCACTGAGCCACCATTGCCCAAGACACAGAACAGGAAGGGAAAATTCAAGGATGCCAGCCCTTTCCAGCAACGTCCTGGTTTTCCCTCATTTATGGGCCAGGCCTCTGTCTCTATAGTCACACCACTGACCCAAATCAATGCTCAGAAAGGGGCCCAAGGGAAGGAGAGCTGGCCACACATGGTCACTGCAGCGCAGGACACCTAAGTCTCTCATGCAAGGGGTGGTGGCCGCCTGCTTTCTCCCAGATCCACACTAGGAACACAACTCTGACCTCCTGTGCCGAGTGTCATGATGGCTGGAGGCCTGGCCAAGAGACTCACCCGATAGTTGGAGTGGGCGCGGTTATTGAAGAATCTGCCCAATGGAATGTGCTCCGAGTACCCTGGGGAGTACATCCCCGCCGAGGGGCCCGTCGGCACGTGGTGGAAAATGAACCAGAATCCTGTTTCCTGGGGGAACAAGAAGGAAGCCACCAGATTTGGCACCATGAGCTTCAGGCAGGTGACAAATGGTAGCTCCCTGGCCAGGTGAGAGCTACCTAAGGGGCTAAGTGACTCATGGGGTGGCCCACCCTTCCCATCAGAGCCCTCCAGGGTCCTTCCTCATTGGCTGCTGTGCTGACTGCCAGGTTTCAGAGTCACTATGGGGTGTTAGTGCCCCTCTATGGGCTCCAGGCACACCAGCCACCTGCCTCAGTTTCCCCACCTGATGGGGATAATAATGGCACTCAGTCTGTGGCACAGATGGCATTTGCCTACCACACTAAGGTGCCAGGCACTGTTCTAAGGTATCACAAAGTGCTGAGCATTCATCAGCCAAGGCCACCCAGTGACAGCACTTCCCTGAAACCGAGTCCTGAACCCACTTGGCCACACGCCCCTATTGATGCATAGCGCCTCACCTCCGACCCTGCCGCAGAGCAGTTGATCAGGTTGTTGTTGGGATTGGCCATCCAGAAGGTGGACACTGCACTGTGGAGAGGGGACAGAGGGGACAGAGTCACAAAGGCTACCAGCACCCACTCTGCCACCTGGTAAATCTGGAGAAAGACTGCTGCCATGCCCATCTGAAAATCAGGCTCCTCAGAAGGGCCCACTGAGGCACACTGGGTACAGCAGTGAAAAAGGCAGAAAGAAGCCTTTGGTGGTGAAGTCTGAGTCCCTCCCCAGGCATGTGCCTCCTTTGCTGCTGCCCTGGGGAGAAGCTGGCTTCCCAGGCAGAGTTCTGTGGTTCTCTGTGCAGAGTGGAGGCTCAGCGAGGGAGGGAAGGGGGAGGGCCTGAAAGCAGAGGCTCCTCCCACCTGCCTGGCCACTGGCCACCGGCCACCCCACGCCGGGGCACTCACTTGCAGTCCTGCCTGGGCTTGGGCACATAGCCTGGGTAGGAGTCCTCTGTGATCATCTTGCACATCTTGCTATCTCGGTCGGAGGGCAAGAGGGTTCCGGACTTGACGAGGAGGCCAAGGCAGTGGTCAAATGTGTTGCGTTCCTCTGGGCCATCCTCCGTGAAGAAGCAGTGGCCCAGCGAGTTATAGCCTACGACATCCTGGACCTGTAGGGCAGACACACGGCTGGTTCACTCGGCGGCCATCACTTGTGTGCTCACACACTCACTCAACAGACATGAAACAATATCAGCCTGCACCAGGTGAGGAGCACTGAGGGTTTGGAAGCAGTGTGACCTAGGTAGAGGGCTGCAGAGGGCAGGCCCAGAGGACAGAAAAGGGACCCCAGGAGGTGCTGCAGCTGAGGCTCTATGGGGTGGCCTAGGACGAGGCCCTGGGTTTCTACCCTTCTGAGGACACCGTTAACAGGGATGCAGGCACTGAGGGGTGTGGTAAGAGCTCTGCTCAGCGGGAGGGCAGCCCGCATGCATCGAGGACCCTGCAGAGCACATCCAGTGGCCCCTGTGGCCCTGGGCTGGAGCCAGCAGGAGCTGCAGCACCAGCTCACCACTCATCTTTGCGGGACCAAGGCTGGTGGGGAAGAAGATCAAAGTCACACTGAGAGGTCAGGGTGTGCCCTGGCAGCCCACCAGTCCCCAGCTGGTCCCCAGTCACTTCCCCACCACAAAGTGAGGCCTGCAGGTCCATGGCCCTTAGCTCCTGGGGTCACATTCTGACTGCTCAGTCTCAGAACTGGGGAGTCCTTAAGGACCCTGGCCTGAGCCTGCTCTTGGCCAGACCCTGGCTGCAGCCTCCTGGGTTCATGGGTGCCTGATTTTGCCCAGCTCCAAGGGAAACGCTCACTCTCCAGGACACAGTGCCAGGCTGGCTTCATCTACCCCTGCGTTTGCCCCTTCCCAGGGCTTCACTCATGAGCAGGGGCTCTTGATTTTCCACAGTGTCAGCTTGGCCCCACCAGCTTGGCGCCCACCATTGCACTAAGCACTAGGAAGTCCACACACCATGCAAAAGTGCTGCCCCTTGGAGCTGCCAGCATTGCATGGGGCTGTCCTGTACTCCTGGCTTCTGTCACCAGGTGCCAACAAGGTTCCCTTGGCTGTGACAGCCAACACTGTCTCGACATTCATTGCTGGATGCCCATTGGGTGAGCCGGGGTGGGTGACAAGATCATCCCTGGCTGAGAAGCATTGATCCAGGGCAAAGCCCGGTTCCCTCAGGCTTCCATGCAGCAGTGCCTGTTCCCTGACTCCCAGACAGCCCAGAATTGGAAGGTTCCCAAGCCAAGACCCTTCCTGGCCACGCTCTGGGCCGAACTCGTACAATCTTGTCTTGCTAAAATCTAATCCTCTAATAGACTGTTTCTTTGGAGATGAGAAAAATGAGACTCAGAGAAGTTTTACAACTTGTCTGAAACCACACAGCTCCCATGTGCCAAGCCAGGGCTACATCTTTGGTTTTGTAGCTGGGCCCATTTGCTCCACAAGGGAGGATCCAAACTCAGAAACCACCCTCTTCCAACAAAGCCCTGGTTCTCTTGGACAAGTCTCCTCCTTCATCTCTCGCATCGGGAGGGCATGAGCTTGAATCCTGCTCACTCCTTCAATGCCCATTTCAACCAGTGCCAAGACTGTCCAAGGGGATCGCCTCCCTGGCTCCTTGGCAGCACAAATCTGTTGTAAATAGCCTACCAGCACAAGCTGGGGGCAAAGGCCAGGACACACGCATGACTCGTGAAGCAGGGACCTTCACCCCAAGGCCAATGTCTTCATACCCAGAGGAGGAAGTTGCCCCCGAGGAGAGTCATGGGTGTCCTTGGCACCAGCTGGCCTCACAGTGGAGCCTGCTGTGGTGCAGAACTCCTCATCCTTGTCTGCCCACCGCACCTGATCTCTCTAAGCTCTGCTCACCTGTCCACCTTGCTGCAGGGGCAGCACAGCAGGTGATCCTTCCCCAAAGGGAAGCAGAAGAAGAGTTCGGAATGTTCTAACTAAGGCCTTCGGGGGAGATTCCCTCCCAGACTCTTGCAACCCATTAGAAGAAAAGCACCATGACCGATCAGAATGTTTTACACTTTTGCTCACGTGAACCTCATGGCAACCAGGACTCTCCCAGTGACCCTGAGCCTCAGAAACAGTCCCCACGTCACTGCTCTCTCAAGGATAGAGCTGTATCTAAGCTCTCCCATCTGACTGGTACATAACTTGATTGCTAATCAAATTCAACAGCGCCAGGTTAGGAATGGGTGAGCTGGGCGCTCGCAGTCAGGAGAGGAGTGGGCGGGGAGGAGGCCTGGTCTTGGGAAGAAGCCCACAGCTCCAATTGTCGCTCAGCCGCAGACTTGCTGAGGACTCCCGAGGTCTCCTTTGGCCCCAGTGTCTTAGTATATCCCTCCTCAGCACACTTCCCAGAATCAAATTCTTACACCGTGATGCAGCTTGAGGTGATAGGAAGACAGAAGACAGACAGGTGAGAGACAGGCAGCAGGGGGATAAGCAGACACAGGTGGCCACCCAGTTTCTGTGTGTGCAACTGGAGCACTATAAGTCACTGCCATTCTCCTGCGCAAACTGGTCCCCGTGGCTCAAAGTCATGAAAGCAATTTCTTTCTTTTTTTTTTTTTCTTTCTTTTTGAGGCATTTTTTTTTCTTCTGTGTAGATCAGACTGTGTAAACTCACTATGGAGCCCATGCTGGTTTTAAATGCCAGGCAATCCTCCTGCCTCAGCCTCCTGAAGGTTAGATTATAGGCATATGTGACCACACCTTGTTTGAAAACTATATTGCTGGGGATTTAGCTCAGCAGCATAAGCACCTGCGTGCACATGCAAGGTCATGAGTTCAATCCCCAGCACCAAAAAAAAAATAAAGGAAAGGAAAGGAAAGAAAGGAAGCTGGCATTACTCTTCAACTGTTGGTAGGTGTTATCTAGGCTTGTGATTGTGTAGAAGAGACCCAGAGTCACCAAGGACACCTTCTGTGAGTGTGACCCTTCTACCTAGGAGCTGCTAGCAGGTGACATGGGGCAGGTCTGTAACTACTACTCCACACAAACCCAGCCATACAGTCACTGATGATTTCCAACAAAAACCTGGAAATTGCCACTGAAAACAAACAAACATGAACAGAAAGTAATTATACAGCTGGCCCTCTGGGTCTGTAGGATCACATCAGTGGTCAATCAATCTCATATGGAAATTTTTTAAAAATTGTACAAAACACATACAAACTTTTCCTTGTCACCAGTCCCTAAACAATGTGGAATAGTAGCCATTTGCTAGCATTCACATGGCACTAGGGTTATAAAGTATATAGAGGTCTTATTGTGGAAGGGTGCGCATAGATCATAAGCAAATTCAGGCTCAAGCAATGAGAATTTGGGTTCTTACCGGGGTCCAGGATTCCAAAGGAAGATGGATCTAGTTCCCATGCCCTGTAGCAGGTATGCTACAACACAAGTTAATAAGACTCTCAGTGATAACTTCTGTGTAAGTACATTAAAAGGAAAAATCAGTTTCCAAGCTTCTACCATTATGAAAAGCATCTCTTTTGAACAGCTGAAGAGCAGATTGCCTGGGAGTGAGGAGGTGGGTTATTTGTTCTGCAGTGTCTTAATGTGTTTTTGAATATTCAAATGTAGATAAAAGCTGAAAAAGGAAACAGAGAAGGAAAATGCTCTGCCTAGTAAGGAGAGGGATGAATGTTTGTTCACTGATTTGTTTTTCAAGATTGTGAGGACTGAACCCAAGGCCTTCACACGTAGCTACATCTCCAGTTTCTTTTTTTTATTTTTAATTTTGAGACAGGGTCTCTTCAAGTTGTTAAAGTTCTCAGGCTGGGTTTCAACTTATGATCCTCCTGTCTCAGCCTCCCAAAGTGCTGGGATTCCAGTAGGAATAGATTCCTCAGGTGGCACAGGAGAGGTCAGGAGAGGTAGGTGGATCAGAAGGGACAGAGTGGACAAGGAGGGAGGGCAGGTAGAGCCCATGGAAGCCTGTAGTCTGCAAAGGGACCCTGAGGAGAGAGATGTCTCTTTCTTGCTGCTGATTTCTGAGACCACCTACACGGCACCCCTGCTCCTCTCCTCTACCCAGCACACCAGGAAAAGCCCCGGACCAAGAAAGCTTTGGGGGTCTAGGCCCCTCCTGGGAAGAGGAGGGTAGAGAACAGCTACCGAGCAGGAGTGAGGATGAATCCGGGAACTGGAAGAGGGGAGAACCAGGAGGGCAGCAGCCACTCCCACATTTTGGGTTCCAAGGCTAAGACAGGGCACTGGGGCTCCTGTTGGCTTCAGAAGAAGGCCAAGGAAGGGCACGGCCCTAAGGTGGACAACTTGGAACCAACTGAAGCCCACTTGCATGGCTTCCTGTACCACCAGAGCTGGGCAGGGTATGGCCCACAGGGACATTGGGCCTCAAGCAGCTGGCGGCTGTCGGGGGCGTTTCTGTCAAGGGTACATTTGGAGCAAGACATCAGGTGGGACCTGCAGGACCTTTGTTCTCCCGTTTACCCCTCCACCCCCACCACATGTTTTACACAGCCTGCAAGTGTCCTGGAAGGGTCAGAAAGCAGCCCCCCCACCCATGTAAGCCTGTGTCTGTCTCAGAGCTCAGTAGTGTACACACTGGGATGATGGGGAGGCCTGGTGCCAACACATCAGGGATTTCCAGGGTTAAAAAAAACACTCCCTGCTGAGGCTCCTCAGACCTCAGGTACCGACTCCTTCTTCCCAGCCAGTGAAGCCCACCCGGAACACAGAGGCCCTGGCTGATAATGCTAATAATGTCAAGCAAACATGTCATATATATTATTTGGTTTAACCTTCCTACAGGCCTTTTGAAGTCACTTCTCTCTATAGAGGGGGAAACTGAGGTCCAGGGGGTTCCCATCTCTGTAACTCTGTACTCTTTAACCATGGTACAGCCACCAGACTGGGCGGGACAAGGAGACTCAGAGGAGGGAGGCAGGCCTCATCTGCATCAGGCAGCAGCAGAGACCCTTGTTGGAGCTTCCAGGACTTGTAAGACCCATGTGACGTGGCCCTACGGCATCTTTCAGCACCACACAGCTCAGAACCTCAGAGCCCATGGTACCCATCTGTTGTTGCGGGAAGACTTCCAGAATACTGCTGCTGCATGCTCGCTAAGTTCCAGACCAGAATCATGCATTTGTCCACTGTGCCTCCTTTGTCCTGACAGTGAAGCTAGTCAGCTACGAATAGATAGTTTAAGCCAAAATGAAGAAAGGCCACACAGCACCCCACTGAGGAAATGAGGTCCAGCTGGGTTGCACAGCCTGGGGAGTTCTGTGCCCATGGAGGATGCAGGTGAGTGCCTATCTATAAACCTTCTCTTCTCCAGACCTGGCAGCGGCTGCCATGTGACTGCTCAGCTCTGAGCTAAAAGCTCACACTGCATCTGGCATCAGAGCTGTGGTAATATGTCTCACTTTGGAAAGGCCGTAGCAGGACCGGGATTCCAAGTCCTAGCTGATCAACTTTGTCACTCAGCGTGAGTGTTGCAGGTCCGTGTACAGATGTGGGGTATGTGTACATGTGCATGTGTATGTGCTCTGAGGTACAGAACCCCATTATGGATCTGCCATGGTCCTACTATCTTTCTCTTTAGTGAAATTCAATAAGGTGAATTGAAGCTAGGTGTAAACGATCATGACGGGTGATGCCCGAGACTCAGGCAGCCCTGCCACCTCCCTTACCCCGTGCATGCTGGTCTCTCCACTGGGTGTGCTCATGCTCATGCTCCTGTGGCCCACCTGGAGCTTTGCTTTGTAGTGCCTCTGTGCTCGCCTGCCCAGGACTGAGAGCGGGCCAAGCCTCAGGATCACATCTCACAGGTGCTCTGCTCACTCGATACCAGAAGTAGAAGCCTTCTCAAATTTACAGAAGAGGAAACTGAGGCAAGGAGCTGTAAAATGCCTGGCCTGATCACATGGTAGGCAGGTGACAGCGCACAGATGGGAGCCCAGGCCATTGGGCTTTGCAACCGAAGCTTAGTGCTGTGAAACACCGCTGATGTTCTGAACCCCTTATGAATCACAATGCCTTTCTGCTTCTTTCTTGAGTGAGAAAAAAAACCCACATCTCAGTGCACCTGCTGCAGCACAGCCCTCTGGCCACCTGCCTGGAAGTCCCACCCTGGGGCTCCCCTGTGACTCTTTTCACCACCTGACTGATGAGGAAGCTGAGGTTCAGCAAGGTTGAGCAACTTGGCCAAGGCTTATAACCCAGGACTAGGGATTAAGCCTCAAACCCAGATCCCTGTAGACAGGGCTCCAAAGCCCTGCTCCTCTGCTGTGTGGTCAGGAAATGGCTTTAGGTCACAGCACTAAGACTACAGAGCAACAGAAATGCCTTTATCATGGCACAGCACCTGGGAGAGGGCTGAAAAGGGCTCCCTGGTGACAGGATCTGGCCACTATGTGCCTGGTGGGGGAAAGCAGGGCTCACAGGCCCGAATGCACATGGGTGGGAAGACACCTGGCAGCTTGGGGGAGCACAGCGGCGTGATGGTAGGACAGGCATGGTGCCATCGCAATCTGCCCAGTCACCATGTAGGAAAGTAGACACATGGCCAACTCCCACTACTGCTCAGGAGAGGCCAGGTTCACCCCTCCACACTGTCTCCATTTTTAAATGAAGGAAAACAGACCCAAAGGTTCTTTAGACATGTTGTAAGGCTTACAAACCACTTGTAAATGCCATTCTGTGACTCCAGTTTATAGATGAGGCCACTTTCCCTTTTGGCCGGCCAGTGACCTGCCCTTGGGGGAGGCCTCTCTGCAGCCTGGGCCCTGCAAGCTTCACCCTTCCCACTGTGGGCACTCACCAACAGGCCGTTAGAGCCGTGGACGGTGACACAGCGGGAGAACGTGTGGTGGATGGAGAGGTCCTTGATGTAGGTGGGCGGATCGTAGCCACCCCGCTTGTCCACGTCGCCTGCCAGGTGGAAGTGGATTGGGTACTGGCCCACCAACTGCTGTCCCATGTGCTTCAGCTCCACGCCAGACAGATGTACAGCCTTAAACCCCAGTGCAAACTGGGAAGGAAGAGCGAGAGTCAGGGGGACCAGGGACTTCCTGCCCCCATAACCCCAAAGCACAGCACCACCGTCCTCATGGTACACTCTAGGGTCCCCGAGGGGCTCAGCAAATCAGAGACATCCTGTGCATGTGGGTTGGGGGCCTGGTTTTTCCTACCCCATGGGAGAGGAGAGAAGTTTTGGTTTTTTTTACACTTTTTTTTTCTTTTTTTATTGGTATCAGGGATTGAACTCACAACCACCTGCTTGCAAGGCAGGTGCTTATGCCACTGAGCTAAATCCCCAGCCCCTGAGAGAAGTTATTAATGGCTGAGGATTCAGCAAGGCAGGGACTGCGGAAGTGGGCGTTGCACAATATCGGGCTGCTCTGAGTTTCCTCCCAGCCACCTGGTGTTAGGAAAGGATGCCCCTGGGAAGCCTGGAGAACTGCAGATGGGGGCTGCAGGTGACTGTAGGTAATGCCTGTGTCACAATCTACCTGAGACCTTCTCCTGGGGTGCGGGACAGACACCATCCAGGACTCCCCGAATCCCTGCTGTGGTGGCACATGTGCAAGAGAAGAGGTGCCCATGGGCTCCCTTCCCAGTAGCTCAGAGCCACTCCTGGCACCTCTGGAAACCATGGATTACACCTATACCTGTGATCCAGAAGCTTACAGAGCAAATGGGGTGCAAACAGGATCCTGCCACAAGTGGGGTCAGGCAACTTCTAGAGGGAGAGGGTCCTGAAATACTAACCTTTCTCCCCAAATGAGGGCAATGGGAATGCCAGTGCCCGAGGGGCCCCAAGAGTTGTGTTGAGAGTGAACCACAGCCTGGTTTGGCTCAGTGGGCAGGAGATCCCGTCACTCTGGTCACTCCCACAATGGGGAGAGGCTGTGGCAGTTTACGGGCCATTCTTTTGCTTGCCTCCTGTGGCCTCACTGGCCCTCCCTGTCCCCAGGAAAGGACTGGAAACAAGTAGACGTATTTGTGGTGGCAACAATAGCTGACTCACCTAAAACGCCACCAGGCCCCCAGTGAACTGTGCATCTCACACTGTTAGTCTCTTCAGTTAGGTCGCTAGGGTCTCATGTGTAAAGCATAAGATTGTAGCTTTAAGAGAACTCTCTCTACATGAATACAAAATATTACATTCTCAGTATTACAACCAGTGGCCTCGTGAAGAACTTTTGGGTGTCTTGTACCATTTAATAGGCAGGATATGCAAAGGAAACCTCCCCTTGAGGTCCACATGAGGAGACAGGTAGCACCTAGAAGCTTGGATTCTTTTTACTGCATAGTTAGAACCCAGCTGGGCCACCCAGCACATCTGCCTCATGAGTCCAGGAAACCCACAGGTAATTTAATGTGAAACTTTCAGCTTCTCTAACCTTCTGGCTGTTTTCTCCATATCATAATCGGTCTTTCTGTGAGTTCAGTGCTATTTCTTTAGGGAAGGGACCAGGATTGAGCAGGAAAGGCAGGAGACGGAGGCAGTGAGGAAGCAGGAAATGCAGCTGGCAGGAGATGGCCCGGCTTGCTGCCACCACCTCTCCGTTCCCAAGAATGGAGGGGCAACTGCAGTCAGTGGTAGGACGGAGACGTCTGTCTGTCTCCAGCTCCAGGCCCTGTGTCCTTCTTTCCTGGGCATCCCTGGCCACCTGGGATGCTGCTGGGTAGGTGACAGCCTCAGCAAGGCAGACTCATACCTTTATGTGGCCCCCAAAGGTATCGAAGTCAAAGAAGCTGCAGAGGTGATTGCTGTAGGGGTAGCACTTGTCCTCCATCTCCCCCATGATCACGATGTTCCGGCTCAGGAGCCCGACCTCGGCCCGCATGTCCACGCCGTCTATCTCCTCCCCGATGTGCAGGTACCGCGGCTTCCCTGGGGCAGAGGGGAGGTGGAACAGGGCGTGTGTTATCACCAGACCCCTCATACTCAGTGGGCCCATGGCCCCCAGGGCATTTTATTTGATTTGTATTGGGGGTCAAACTCATGACCTCGAGCTTGCCAGGCAGGTGCTTGTGCCACTGAGTTAAACCCCTGGCCCTCCCCAGGGCATTTTCTAGAAATATGAAGCCCAGAGAGGTGACATCTCATGCAGAAGGCAGAACCAGGGTCCCCAGTCACATGTGCTTAGGGTTGAAACCTGTGGCAGAAATGGGCTCTTAGAAACCAGATTCGCCTAGGAGTTAGCCGGACACACAGTCAGCCAGGGGCACTGTTGCACACTGTCCCTGGGGTTAGGTGTGGCCACTGGATTATGAGTAGAAGCACTAGGAGCATGCCCCGGAAGCAGGCTCTGTCAAGCTTGGGCAAATCCTACCCTCCAGACCACAGAGCAACTGCAGAAAAGAAACCAGGTCTGGCTGACCCCACCATGCCTGATGCCAGGCCACCTGCCTGCTGGGGTTCCTGAGAACACAGAGCAATTGTTGTCTCTCTCAATTACCTACGATAGAGCAGAGAGCTCCGTATTCTGCTCTCCTTGCCCCCATGGGCTATGTATCTACAGCGCCTGTCTAGAGGGCATGCGGTGTGTGTCCACAGGGTCTGTAGAATCCTTGGGGCCCTGGGGCAGAAACTATGGCACATGTGATACAGCAGGCTGTTTGTTACCACCGAAAGCTTTGAACGGTTCACCATCACTGCTGTATTATATGCATCAGAGTCAGATGGGAGCTTCTGTCCACCACTCTGGGCCTGCTCTGGAGCCCTGTGGATGCCGTGTGGAGTGTGCCATGCAGGAGAACCTGCACCTGCTGTGCCCAACCATGTCTCTCTCCCTCCAGGCTCTCTGTGCAGTTGACCCAGCGCAGCCCCTCCCCAGGCCTAGTGGCTTCCTGTCCCGATGGCTCTGCTTCTTCTTAACTCTACTGTCCAAGTCCCTTGAGCCTTTCTATTCCTAAAAAGTCAATGAAAAAAGGCACCCCGCCCAGGCGCTGTCATCTCTTTCCTGCGGTAGCCAGAAATGGGCTCTGATGGGCTCTGCCCTATCTCCTCTGTTGTCTCTCCACCGTCTCTCTCCCACTGTTCCACTCAAATTCTTGCCACATGCACTTCACATTTCCCTTTCTGCTTTCTCTTCCTCCAGCCATACAAGAAAGGCACCTTAAGAGAAGAGCAGGGCGGTGCACACTCAAACATGGAGCTATCTTTGCGTTACAGCCCCAAGATTCTGCCTCTAGCACAATTCCAAATTCTTTGCCACAGTAAAGTCTTAGCATGGCTCTAAATTTGGCTCATCCCTAAGACTGCTGACCTGGCTGATAGACACTTTCGCATCTCAGGTGCAGTTACAAAGAGCAGCCACCTCCCTTGTGGATCATGAGGCCACTAAACAATCAATGCCACTCACCTCACTGAGTTTCCACCATGACCTCAAGTAACAGAGCACTTGGTTCTGCCCCGAGAAACTGCCAGGGCCCATGTATGAGAGCCACAGCTTTAATTAGCCTGTGCACCTCACAGTGACCTTCCTCTGTCCTCCCACCCACAGGAAAAGATGACCCCGTGCTCCCTCTCCAGGCCCACGTCCAGGCGATCCCATCTCCAGTCTTAGTCTGATCTCATTTGAAAAGACCCTTTGGCCATAAATTGGGACTCATAGGTACTGAAGATTAGAAAGACTTGGGTTGTTTTACTTGGTTTTGGTTTTGGTACCAGAGATCGAACTCATGACCTTGCACTTGCCAAGCAGGTTCTTAAACTACTAAGTTAAATCCCCAGCCTTAGAAAGATCTTTCCCAAGGCAGCCACAGAGATCTTCTTAAAAACAGACTTGGCATTTTGTTAGTCAGCTTTCTACTATAAAAATACCCAGGATAAAGCAGTTTGCAAAGAGGACAGGTGTCAGACATAGTAGCAAACATCTATAATCCTAACACTTGGGTGGCTGAGGCAGAAGGATCACAAATTGAAGTCCATCTTGGGCAACTTGGTGATTTAGTAAGATCCTGTCTCACTAAAAAATTGAAAGGAGAAAAGGTTTATGTTGGCTGCGGTTTCCAGAGGTTTTAGTCTGTGACTGACGGGCCCATTGCTTTTGACTTGTGGCGGCTCAGTGCGTCCAGCATCTCACAGTCCCCTTGGAGGGCTCACCCCCAGGAACTTCAGACTTCCTCTCAGGCCACCTTGTAAGGTTCCACCACCTCTTGGTAGCACCAAGGTGCGAATCCAGCCAGGCTTTGACACACAGACTTCTAGGAAATATTAAAAATTCAGACAATACGCAGGGCCCTGTGTCTCTCCTTTCAAGGTCCAGAGCAGGGTTCCCCCTGGTTCATCTCTTACTACCCAGTTCATTCAGCACCTTCCCAGGTACGGAGGGCAGAGTTTTTCCCTCAAGAGCTTTTCAGGATATCTGAGTGGCCATGGCTTTGAGGAGGCTATGCAGGGCGCATGTCTGACTGGGAGGAATGGAGTCTAGCACATGAAATGCTAGAAATGGGCTATCATCTTGCTCACCCTGGAGACTCACACACAGGGCTTTCCACAGCCTGAGACTGGCCTTGGGGTCCTGCTGTGGATGTGAGTGATCAGGGGTGCTCAGTACTCTGCTGCAGTCTGCCGGTAGCAGGTTGTTATTTTCCCCTAAGGATCCACTGCACATGAGCACTGTAGTCCATACCTCTCCAGGAAACCCGATCTGTGACACAAGGACCACACCTGTGAGGGTGGGAGACCCCTCCTTCCAGAACCTCGTTACTCTCCCTATGCCCTGGGCATCAAGGGCTGAGTAGGTCACCTTGTGCATGGTAGAGGTCCTCTCTCGCAGCAGCTGTGAGAATATGCCACTGTGACTGCTCTGCAAGAGTGCCTCTGCAAGGTAGGGAGCACACCACCAGCAGCTGCCAGGTCTCCATGGTCCACCTGTCCGTGGGTACCAAGGGTCCCACCCAGAAACTGCAGCGCAGTGATACTAAAGTCAGCCATCTCTGCCCCACAAGGGACTCCCTGGTGGGTGGTCCCTGCTCTGGAGCTCCCTGCTAGCCTCCAGCTTCCTCAGAGCCCTTGTAGCCCACGACTCTTCTCACCTGACTGCCCTTCCACCTTCCGGCCTGTCATGAGTGCCAGATATGCCCCCTGGCTCCCTGCACCTGCTCCTGTACCCTCTTCCTGTGGTCCCTCACCCTAACCCAATCTCGCACATCCAATGCTGTCTGCACACACTTTCCTTCTTTGTGATTCCTTTGTCAGAAGATCTTGGGGATCATGATGGAGATGCAAGTATGTCCGGCACCCTCTGCCTCTCTGCCTACCCTGGTCTTCTAAACCACCTCAGTTCAAGATGCTCCTGGCAGATAATCAGCTCAGGAAGAATTTGGTTCTTCTGTGTATCTTTCCCGTCTGGGATCCTGGTCTTCCAGGCACCATGTGTCCAGTTATGCTGGATCAGAGCTGATTTTCTCTATTAGTGGATACCTCAAGGCAAAGCTCAGAGAAACTCCCCAAAGCCTCTTCAAGCCAGCAAGGCTGCTTCAAGCTCTGGGAAAAGAGAAGGAAGTGACAACCGAGGAGGAGCTCAGCATTTAGAGGCAGCTCAGGTCCGTCTGCAGAGCAGCCACAGCCAGGGCTAGGAGGTCCAGCCAGGGTCCTCAGACACAGCTCAGAGCAGACTGTGCAGAGGGGACTCCAGGGCTAGCCTCAGTCCTGTGGGCCAGTGCCCAAGATAGGGGCTCCCTAAGATAGACAGAGAAAACCCCAGCTCCCTGAGCTTGTCTCCACCTATCCTCTGCCCCAGCCAGCCTCACAGCTGCCCTCCCTCCTTCAGCCTCACCTGCCTGTTCCCTCTGCAGAGCAGCCCAAGGGGAGAATGGCCGCATCCTGCAGGGCGGAGCTCCATGTCTCCCCAGGAACCTCCCCAGCCACACTGAGCCCTGGCCTTTTCTCCTCAATGGCCTGCAGAACTCAGAAGATCCAGCAATGGGCCAGGCTTCCCCAGTGTCAGGCCACACATCCAGGGCCTTCTGACCATTGCTTGGGCCCGTGCCCACAGGTGCCTGGGCTCCTCTCAGTACCCCTCAAGGCATGGCATCCAGGCCAGATCACATCAGAAGCTTCTGTGTCTATGGGTGGTCAGACAGCCTTACAGGGAGACAGAAGACGGTGCTGGCCCCAGAACCTGCCATGAGACTCAGCTCGTTGCCGTGAGTTCCTGAGTGTGCAATTTAAGCTCCCTAAACCTCAGGCTTTTCATCTATGAAACAGAGATAATAATAGCATTGTCCTAAAAGGCAGTGAAATGAGTTAAACAACAGCTGGCACAAGGTAGACCAAGTTCAACAGAAATGGCACAAACAGCTGCCACTGGCATTGTCCCAGGTGTCCCAGGCTGGAGCCCGGCCTGGAGGACAAGGGTAGTTCCACGGGGGAAGCCAGGCAGGATGCAGCAGGGGCTGCACGCCTCAGAGCCTGCAGGAGAGGCAGCACTGGGTGGATGGGTGCAACAGCTGGCCCAGTGTCCTGCCCCAGCCCCTCTCCACCACTGGGCATCTTAGTCTGCCGTACCGTCCTTTCCAAATCTCTTGCCCTCAGCTCCATGCAGCCTTCTCTGTCCAGCCCAGACTCCCGGGGCAGCATGTGCCTACTCCTGATTTTCCACATATCTGCAGAATTCTCCTCCAGCCTCCACCACTCAGCTCCTTCTCCAGTCCCAGTGTATGGAGCTAGCCAAGCCAGAGCTGTCGCAATGGTTGAGAAGGGCAAGCAGGGAGACTGCCTGGGAAGTGAAGATCCTCAGAACACTGGCCTGTGTTTCGCTACAGGTGGCACCGGCTAGTCTACAACCCCCAAGCCGTGGCACCCGGAGCCTTGCCTCAGGGCCAGCACAGACCAGGTACCCTGGGTCGAGGGTATGAACACCAAGATCTTCCAGTGCAAGAAACAGATACATGTGCTGGTTCTCAGACCCAGGAGACCCCGGCATACCTGCGGCCTGGGAGGAGGGCCTCCCTTCCTAGACCACTGGCTGCAAGGGCGAGCCTCAGGACATGGATGCTAGGAGTTCTACAGAGGCCCGCTGGGAGCAGATGCTGGAGGAACAACAAAGGCCTGGAGCTCATGGGCTCTCAGATGAAACCTGGCTCAGGTACTGACTTGCTTGGTCTACCCTAGCAGCCCCACAGGTACGCTGTTCTACACCTGAGATGGCCCGTCCTGGGCTCCAGGTAGCAGCCCCCAGGCACATACATGTGGGTACTGAGCATGCAGAACCCGGTGACTAAGGGAGAGACCTTCACATTTTAGATCATCTTAAGTGAACTTTTACAGCCACACATGGCTGGTGGCCACCACACTGGGAAGCACAAATCTGGTCATCCAGTGTCTGTGGAACCGTGGTCTCTACCCAAGCCATGTAGGGGAAAGTGACACCCACAGCATTGGGTTATCATGCAGTACCTGAAATTCTTGGGACATCACAGGAAACCTCTATACTGAGCTGTGTTACATAAAAGTGTGGGGTGTTTACAGCCAGGGTGGGAAGGTGGTGTTGAAAATGGAGCCAAAACGGTGGGGCTTTCAATTATCACCTCCACATTGGCAGGGGTTGGGAATTGCACAGTGGTTGGCAAAATTTGGAAACTTTTTTTTGATGATTCATGCATTTCCGTTATTTTGTTACCCCCATCTGTTTTCCATCAGAAAACCCTTTAAATGAAAAAAGGGCCATTTACTGGAATTTGGGGACTCTGTAGAAAAAAGGATGTGTCTGCTTCACAAGCAGCCTGAGGAGGGTGAACTCAAGGGCTCACAGGGGTGAGCCAGGGCACAGGGTTGTGAGAGGCATGGGGAGTCCTTGCTCAGTGACAGCGGGGGATAGAGTGCCAGAGGTAGGCTCAGGCCAAAAGAGGGAAGGGAAGGAGCCTCTCCAGGACAGACAGATGGACAGACAGACAGGCCACTCTCCCAGGGCCTTCTGATGTGCTCACAGGTGCCATTTTTATAGAGCACAACATCTTCTAAGGCAGAGGGAGGTGGCCAGGAGAGTTGGATACAGGCATTGCTGAGCTGGAATCCAGGGTATCCTGCAGGGACCTGGCCTCTTGTCCACATCTCCTTCCATTTCTGGGCACCCAGGGCCCAAAGTAGCCCTGTCACACTTGGTCAGCTGCAAAGGGCCTCTGAGGCAGCTGGCAAATTGGTGGAAACCAATCAAGAGGAGCAACTCAGTATTAACCTAGATGTTCTACTGTGAGCCCCAAATGCATCCTGACACCCCACAAACTTCTCAGGATCAAGGAGGCCACAGTCATTACCTCCGAGGCCTGCTAAGAGTCAGACCGCCCCTGGACATGGTGTACACAGCGCAGGGTCAAGACATAGTGTGTCTCCTGGGTCCCCCTCTCCTCCTCAGCACAGGCAAAGACTCATGCCAGGCTTTTCTGGCATTTGGGCACCATGGACACTGCCCAGAGCCACGGGGAATAACATCAGCCCAAACCACTTGAATGCCACCCCTGTAACATCCAGAAAGCTGTCTACAGTGCACTCTCTCAGGTGACATGCAAGTCACCGTAAAGACCTCAGGGCCAGCAACCACTCAGAACTAACTCAGCTCAGTGCCCACTGGTCCTTCCAGACCATGGGCACCTACCAGACTCCTGGCCTTCAGTGACCTCCTTGTGCACTGACCTGTGGCCTCCTGGTGTCTCTGCAGCCCCATGAGCTCCCATGTTACCCACTCCAGCTGCTCTGGTCCTCCCAGGGTGCAGCTCCTGCTCACCTGAGAGTCCCCACCCACACTCCTTCTGGAAGCCCTCCTCTCCCTCGGTGCCCTCCACTTCCCTCCAGCTCCTGACTTGGCAACTGACTCCTCCAGGAAGACTCCCGGCCCAGCCCTGATTCTTCAGGTCCCTTGTCCTGTGTTCCCAGCACCTCCACTCTGCAGAGCCATTGTGACCAGAGGGTGGGTACAGGCCTACCTGCCACTTTGACCTGGTTGAAGGCACAGGTTCGACAGGGCAGCACCTGGAACTCTTCTGCCTGGTACATGGAATAGTCGGTGCTGGCAACCACCAGGGTGTCTCCAGGTCTCCAGGACCGCACATCGTCCTCCAGGGTCAGGATGGTGCTGTTTACGTTGGTGTCAATGGTAACTGTGAGCTTGGGCCTCACTGTAACCAAAACAGGATGAACTGAGACACAGCCCTCTGCTTGGAAGCCTACTGATCTCTTCCCATCTCCTGTACAAACAAATGCCAGGTTCACCTATCCAAACCCCAAATCACCAGCTCCTCCATCCATCGTGGTGTGCAAGGTTTTGAAGTCAACAAAAACCTGACCAGAAAAGAGCCATTCATTAGCTCTGGGCAGGGAACTTTCCACTAGCTTCTGAAGAAAGTTAAATGTAGCAGCCTTACCACACCCACTTTGCTCAAGATGTAAAACAAATACAGTTCCTCTCAACTATTATTTACAGCCACTGTACGTCTCTCCCCTGCAGAAGTCCTGTCCCTAATGACTGTCCTCCAGAGATGGCCACGTCCTCTGGGAACAAACCAAACATTCCCACTCCCTGCTGGCCAGCACTTCAGGCCTGGGTTTGGAATCACAGCATCCAGAAAGGCAAAGAGCGGTGCATCTCTATGGGAGGGCGTGGGGGTCTTCACTGTCCATCTGTACCCCACTGTTCATCTGCACCCCACTATCCATCCACACTCTGCTGGCCTGGAGCTTGGGCTTTCCTTTCCTGAAAGGCTCGTGGGCAGGGTAGGAACAGACCACTCAGCTCCGAATTCCCTCCCACTGCCCTGTGTCACACAAGTGTACCAGCCACCACGGGCACAGCAGGAATACTGTCACTGTGTCCTCACCCACCACGCCCACACCACAGGAAAGAAGCCGCTCACCAGGCTTCCCGCAGAGGAAGCGCACACGGTAGCTCTGGCAGGCGCGGCCGCGGTCATAGCAGGCGAACTTGTAGTCCTGGCCCCTTTTGTAGACAACCTCAGTGCTCAGCTTGACTCCGTCCATCGTCGTGGCCTGGAAGGAGCACAGAAGTCACAGAGCAGAGTAATTTTCCTTGTCATAGGAGGACGATGATTGATGTTCTCGCTCTATACTTAAAGGTCTAAAACTGTCTTTGCCACAGAACTATTTGTAGTGGTCTGAAAGGATCGTGACAGAGCAGAGCTGCTCCCAGGAGTCTTGCTACCAAGGACAGCATGACACGTTGGAACCAACAAAGGCCTTGTGTGGGTCCCGCAGAGTCACACATCCACACTGGGGACATCCATCTGCACCAGGACACCCCACTGTGTGTCCCACAGCAGGTGCTCGGCACCCGGCCTGGCCACTTTCCACAGCATGTCCAACAGCACCACGTGCCGGTGTGATTTCACCTGGGAGGACTCACTGTGCCCCATCCCGTGGTGCCCAAACAGCCTTCCACAGGAAAGAACAGGAGTCTCCTAAGACCCGAAGCCCAGGCTCCATTCTCTGATGCCCAGTTCAGTTGTGTCAGGGCTGCAGCCTGGGCATCATGGCGTTTGGAAGTTGCCCTGGTAACTGTAGGGGGCGAGAAGTTGGAGGAACACTGCTGGGGTTCAGGACCCAAGTGTTTACATGCACCTCACATCATCATCACAGCAAAATCAGAGGCTGCTGCGGATGACGCTGATGGGGAAAGCGACAGGTGGGGAGGCAAAGTGACTGGTCCAGGAGGACAAAGCCAGCAACGAAACAGACTATTGAGGACCCCAAATTATAAATTGAGTCTGAGGACATCCACACTTGTTCTTGTCCTGCCCTGAGCCAGATTGGAACTCGGAAACTCCCCGCTCTATGTGGCCACAGCTGGAAGCCGTAGGGCTGATGCCTGCTGTGGCGCTCACTGAGCTCATTGCCCCCCAGCTTGTCCTTGTCTACATCCTTTGCTCTTGCTAGCCCTCTTTAGTCCCCATGACTGTTCCTGGGAACACGCCCTGTCCTTCACCATTGTCTTCAACTCAGATGCAATGAGCAAACACCAAGGTTCTGGCTACCCCCTGGCCTTCTGTTGCCCACAAACAACTGCTCATCCCAGATCGCTGCTGCACCCGTATTTTGTCGCTGGCTCTTGCTCCCCACTGTGCGCTGTAACACCTGGCAGGAGATGGGACTTACCGTAAGGGTCCTCAATAACTGGCACCGTGGGAAGCTGCCAAGAGCAGACCTTGAGCCCACCTGTACCTAACTGCAAAGCTGGCTCCCGAGCCTCTGGCCGCTGCACCCTCAGGGCCCTGCTGTTCTTTGCTCACAGGTAGGCCCCTCCCCATGGCAGAGCTTTAGTGGGGGAGCGCAGGGCTTCACCTGTCTCCCTGGCCCCCCAGGGCCTGGCACAGAGGGGCTCCGTCAATGGGGGCTGATGAACAAGTAGCTACGAGGCCAGGTGAAAATCTAAGAAACAGACTCCGAGGAAGACTCGCTATTGCCGGCCGGGTATGCCCGCCCCCGAGCCCATGCCTGCTGTTCAGAGATGCCATTCCTGTGAGGCCACAGTGGCTGTGATCATTGGCACAGAAACCAAAGGGACCAGGGTCAGGGGATAGAGGGATCATAAAGTTAACCACTAAAAAAAGAGGCAGAGACTTTTTAGGAAACATTGTTTAGACCTAGCAACTATTTTGGCTTGAAGATCATACAGCAAGTGAGGAAAATTCACAGCTAAAATTTAGAAATTTCTTGCAAGCAATATACACACTTTAATTATCATGGGTGTTTTCAGAGCCAGACCAGGGCCAGGCTTTCATAGGAAACCACTAAGGCTCCTCAAGATATAGACGCAAGCTCAGGGCCATCTGACCCCTTGCCTAGTGACTTCCTGAGCCCAGCATGGTCTTTAGCAGACCCTAAAATAAGGAGACCTCAGCCTGAAGCATCACCAGGTAAGCTGGACATTTTCCAAAGTACAACAACGATTTCAAGGGAGTAATTCTGCTTTTCTTTTTTCCCTACCTGAAGAACAACCCTAGTGTTGAATAAGAAGAGTAAAAAGGGATCTATCACAGCCAGGTGAAGTGGTGCAAGTGCGTAATCCCAGCACCCAGGAGGCTGAGGCAGAAGGATCACTGAGTTAAAGGAGTCAAGGTTAGCCTGAAGCCTCATAGTGAGACTCTGTCTCAGAAAACCAAACCAAACCAACAAACAAAAAGGGACCTATCACCATTCCATGAAATGGATCTTCACCTTAAGTGGACACAGGTTCATTGTTATTCATGCTTATAATAATAAAATAAAACCATTAAAATATTATCAATACAATCAGTAAAATCAATTTCATATCAAGGCACTTCCTAGGGTTCAAGTACTTCATGAATTGTTTACTTAATTCACAAAGACTGTCACAAGGGAACAATTGTTATCTCTATTTTTGCATGTGAGGAAACTGAGGCACAAAGATAAAGAACAGGACCAGGACTGTGAGCAAGTGATCCAGGGGAGCCGCTTAAGGTGACACTCCCTCCCAGGGTCCTGCCAGTGCAGAATCAGCACCTGAAAGGCAGTGCCGCCTTAAATATAGCACCTGGGCACCCGGGTTGTCTAGAGCTCCAGGGAGGAGGCATCTCTCTGCCATCTCAGTCTCTCTGGCTTCTAGGTTGTTCTTCTGACCCAAAGCTTAACCTCCAGCCCTTGTGTCACTGCTGTGGAGAAACAAAAAGTCCCACCCCAGAAGCTCAGCCTTAGCTGAGGGCAAGAAAGGGCTTCGACAAGGAAAGCTGAAAAAGGGCAAAGACGTGGAAACCATAGGTGTGCTTTAGTTTACTTTTTTTTTTAGAAACATGAGTTAACAGATTCTGGAAAAGTTTCCTTGAAGTCATCTGGGCAGGGCCAGCTGCCTCCGTCACCTCTTTCCACACCCCCCACACCCTCCCAGAGGGTCTGACTGCACTGGTGCCTGCAGTCCCAGTGACCCACGGTGTGCACCACACAGTGCCAGGCCCTGGGGCAGGTACAGCGTTCGAGTTTAGGACAGCCCCGGCAGGGAGGGGAGGCTGAGCTGGCTTCCCAGAGGGGTCGCCGTGGGCATGGGAAGTCCGTTTCCCATATGTCTGTGGGTAGTTATCCAGGACACTGTGCTGCTGGCTGATGTCGCCTCCAGTGAGCAACAGGTAAGAATGAGGCTGGCTTCCCTTTCCCAGCCTCAGAGACAACCAGGCCAGGAGCTAAGTGTACAGCATCACTTTCCCTGCCGTGAGCATGAGGAGATATTCTGGCTGTGGGGTCCGGGGACACAGACTGCCAGGAGGAGCCAGCACTCCCAGTCTGGCAGTGCTTCCTCCCTGGCTGCAGAAGTGGAGTCTGGACTCACCTCTGCAGACGCACCTGCATCTGTCAGTCAACTGCCTTTGGCAGGCCTTGGTTTTGCCAAGACAAAGCAGAGATCCCATTATGGAAGCGGGAGCTTTGAATTAACAGGGGGCTACAAGCGAGGCAGAATATCTTCATAGAACAAAGCCACTTGCTTTGAGAAAGCTGCCTAGAGCCTCAAGTATGGGAAAACCATTGCTTGGTCTTTTATTCTCCTTTGGATCTCAAATGGTTGAGAGTTTGAATCTAGGGAATGCATTGTCAAGGGTGATGTTTTTGGGGGAAGAAACTGGCCCTGTGCCACAGCTGCAGACGAGGGCGACTGAGTGTGGTGCGGTCACCATGGAAGTCTGGTCTGTCTTCACCTTAGGTCTAACTGAGCCCTGGGCCCCTTGGGGAAGGGCCCATGTGTGTGCTGGGAGCAGAGTAAAGGCTGGAGTAGAAATGTCCCAGGAGAGCTGTTTACTTGCTGCCCAGAAGTTACCCTCAATCGAAGGGATCTGCAGTCAGGCAGCTGGCAGAGAAACTCCAGCAGCATCTGGAGATCAGAGAGGCATTCCTGAAGGATTTTCGGAAATATCTAAAAGGGGAAGCCAGTAAGGGACCACATAGCCTGTGGTCAAGTGCATTGAAGAGATAAGATTATGGCTCTTTCAGAATTAAGTCTGGAATGTTTAAGGCTGCAGTAGAAAATTCCAATTAAACCCAGGAAGTCTGTGCTTTGAGGGGAATGAGTGCCTTTTGATCCTCTTGGGTCCAAGAATGGGCTGCAACTTGCAACTTAATCTGGGCAAATCCTTCTTTATAACTGTGGAGCCATGGGAAAGGAAGAGCTTGAGCCAAGTAATGAGCCAGGCTTCCTTGGCCTTTGTCCAGTGCAGGACAGAGTCCAGGCTAAGATGAGGGTCCTGCTTCAGTGTAAGCAGAGGTCAAAGATCTGCTCATGGGACAGTATGATGGGGTTGGAGCACAGTCAGATCACCTGGTTAGGTGATGGAGGAAGTACTTACAAATGTCAATCACAGCTGTCACTCTTGGTGTCCCCAGGAAACTCCCAGGTTCCTCCATGAGTACCAGAGTCTGCCAGTGGTATACTTAAGTCTTTTTGTAACAAGGGCATGGAATTTACATATCTCCTATACACATTTTCCTGGGTGCTTAATCATTACTAGATAACTTAAAGCCCCTCGTATCTGTAGATGTAATTTAGTTATACTGTTTTGTTCAGGGCATAATCTTGAGAAGGAAAAATTTACATATGTTCAGCACAAATGCAATTTTTTTCCCGAATATTTTTGCTCCTAGGTGGCTGAACCTTTGGGTGTGGAGCCTGAGGGCACAGAGCGCCAACTGTATTTTTGCTGACTGAAAGAGGATAAAATTGAGAGGACATATCCTTCTCAAATGACTTCTAACTCTAGATCAAGCATTTAAATGTCCTCAAAACTTGCTTTGGTACGAGACCTTGTGTAAGGAAGTAAACCGTTTACTTAGCCCATCACTCCTGGCTTCCCTGCTCTCCAAACAGCCCCAGTTCCCAATCACTGCTGAATTTCGAGGCTGGAGCATCAGATCAATACTCCCAGTGGAGCCAACAGTGAAGGTCGAGCTGTCCTTGGGACAGAAAGAACTCCAGGTGAGGATCTTGAGCTGACATGTTGTACTTTTTGAATGTTTTCATTTTGCTTCATGAAGAAAATGGCCATGTCTGTGCTCTCCCCACAGGCTTGGCTCAGCCTGTACCCCAAATCCTAGCCATAATATATGAGATCCAAAGAAAGCCCGCCAAAAAGTGAGGTGGGCAGGCCAAGCCACCCTGGCCAGGACTTCCTCAGCTGCAGCTGCAGAGCAGGTGAAGGAGAAGGAGCAGACCCAGGAGAGAACGAGTCTTAGCTTGATGCAGGCAGTAAGCCTTTGCCTCCATCTCTAAGGAGGAAACGGTGCTCTCTGACTCTCTTTCATCACAGAGAAGGGGGCCAGCAGAGTCACACTGCACAAGTGACAAAGCATCTTGCAATCTATAGCACCCACTTGAAAATAAAGCCTCCTATACATTTGGTACCTGTATGTCAAGGGGGCGGTTGCAGATTTTTCCTGGGTAAGCTAGTCGGAGGTCTGAAATTTTCTCCCCGCCTTTAGTTTGAGACACTTTATCATGGTTGAACCACTCCGTCCACTCCACATCTAGGCAGAAAGCAAGACAAGGTCAGATGTATGTCCATGGTTGCACCAGCAGGGGTAAAGGTGCTTCCAAATGACCTGTTAACTCTCTCATCTTGACAGCATTTTCATAAAAAACACTTGTTGACTTTCTTGTTTTATTAAGGCACTATATAGCTCCTGTTACTGTAAAACCAAATAAGCGCACAGGAGAAAATCCATCTGTGAGCCCATTACCCAAGAACTGCTCCTAGGCTTGCTGCTTTCTGCACTCTGTAGAGGTTCTATGATGGGCAGTGCCATCCAGGTTCTGTGTCCTGGTCATTGCCATCGCCTGCCATGCAGTGACATCCCATAAACTAAACTGAATGCTGTGGATCCCTGTGGACCTGAAACTCACACCTTAACCATCCTTGTGGCCTATTTCCTAATGGGGTTTGATTAAATAAATACCATATGCAGTAGCAAATTTCTAGTTGAGTCTGTAACAGTTAAGTGTTCCCATGTCTGTAAGGAAAACCCTTTGTTCTGCATAGGTGATACATTGTGTCAACTTGAGAAGTTTATTTTTTTTTTTTTCTTTTTTCCGGTACCGAGAATTGAACTCACGACTGCCTGCTTGCAAGGCAGGTGCTTATGCCGCTGAGCTAAATCCTCAGCCCCCTTGAGAAGTTTAAAAGTTTAACTGAGAGGCTCAGCAGAGAGCCAGGATTCTTACTTGTAAATATCCTCATCCTGCCAAAGGAGGGTAAGGAGATTTTGTGAGTGCTACACCTGCCCTGGAGAGGGGGGTGGCTGTGTACAGTATAAGCCAGGAGAAGAGGTTTGTTCTTTGCCTTTTTGCTCTGGCTGCATTTCGCTCTTGAAGTGCTACCCCAGTGCCATGCCACCCTGCCTTGGAGCCAGCTGATTATGGACTTAAATCTCCAAAACTGTAAGATAAATAAATCTTTCCTTCCCTAATCTTGGGCATCATGTACTTTGTCTCAACAACAAGAGAAAAGTAATCAAGACTTGGTGGTTCCTGTTCTTGATCACCCACAGATCTTAGGGTGCCCACAGCTTCTCACCTTGGACCCATTCACTGGATGAGGAGACATTGAAGTATTCGCCATGCTCTGTCCGGAAGAGTTTGAACACCCGGGCAGCTGCAGAGCCACGGTGGCCTGTCAGGGAGCAGAGCAGACAGCCCCAGTTCAAACAGTGGGGTTCAAAGGCAGGGAAACCCCCTATGCCTATGGGTCAGCAATTATATCTTTCAGAATACTTTTTCATTGACAAGGCCATTCCTTTTTCTTGGAATTCAGATTATTATTTATTCTTTTGTTTCCCTTCTGAAAGATCAGACAAAAGTTCTAATAAATCCAAGTTTAGAGCCCGCCTTTCTTCAAGTCTGAGTGCCTCCCAAGGATGCCTCCAGCAGTGACACCCACAGCAGGAGAGAGGAAACTGCTGCTGTGTGTCCCAAGCCATCTCCAAGTCTCACAGGCTCAATACCTGCTGCCTCCCTTCCAGCTCTGTGTCATGACTAGGTTTTAGAATAAGTCACTGAAACTTTCTCTGAAAATGTAAATGTTATCATGCATGATTGAGTTGTGGTCAGCATGGACCATTGCCACTTCCAAGCAATGAGTCAAGTCAGCGGCCAGTCTCTCCATCCGCAGGTGGCAGATGGGTAGCCATACTGAGGGAAAGACGGGCTCCACAAGACTCAGGGCCTTTGGGGTAGAAACATGTTGGACGGACCCAGGGCTCTCACCAACCATAGATTACCGTGGTAGTCGATGTGGTCTTCCACTGAAGAAGATGGATTTCCTTTCACAGTGATAAAACTCCAAGGGTGTCTGAAAATGACAAAAAGTACAGTTATTTGTGTTTTTGAACAATCACTGGGGCAGAGCCGGACTTGGGTCGTGGCTGCACCTTCTCCCTGCAGCTGGACTTTCCTGTTTACCAGTGGGGCCTCCCTGACCCACCCGAGGTCTTTCTTGGCAAGCAGTTGGGTCTCCATACCCTCTGGCCAACCTGGTCCCTCTAACTATAATCCTCTTTACCTCCACGCTGCCAGTAGACTGGGTATAAATCACAAATAAATAAACACCTGGCAGTCCAGGTGTAGCAACTGCCAAACTGGGTCACATCCTACAGAGTCTCTTAGGAAAGTGCCTTCCAACGGAGGAGTTGACTTCTCTCCAGTCCACCCCCCTTAAGAGCAGAACTCAAGGAAAATGCCGTTGGCTTATGGGACCAGCCACCCCAGCCACCTGCCCCCGGCTTGGAAAGGCAAAAGGCAATCTTGCCCTTGCAACAGGGAGGGAAGGAGAAAAAGAAGGGTGCATTTTAACAAACAAAACACCCCCTCTTCTGTGGCAGGCCTCTGAGCTGGGGTGAGGCGACTTACTCACTGTTTCTGTCGCCCCATCAGCCCAACCAGGGAAGGGGCCCAGGACACATGGTCCCAAGACAGGGGCCCTCCGCGTTGACCACTCCCAGCTGAGAAACAGCAGCAAGGGATGACCTCTGACCTCCCCACCCTGCTTCCTGGAAGTGGATCACAGCCTGTAGGCCAGAAGCATTTTCCCCACACCCAGAAGAAAGGAGTGTCCCTACCTCAGAAGATGAGGAACCCCAAGGGGAGAGGGCACAGCCAGGTCTTGCAAAGACTGAAGCTCACTGCACTCTGCCAGCAAATTCTCCCCTAACTTTCTTCAAACTCACATCAGGGTGCCCTGGCTTAGCCCATCCTTCCAGGAAACCACGTAAACTCATCTCACAGTCTGTTTGTTCCAGGGGCCCCAGACAGAGATTTAGATGAGAAGAGGAAAAGGCATTTCCCAATTCTATCTCCATACGCCACTTAGGTGCCAATGGCTTTTTTCATTTGTGTTCAGATCGCTTGCCTTAGAAAGCTGGTCCTGGCTGAATGTGTTCAAGGAGCTTGAGGATTCAGCCCTGGCAGCCTCTCCCTTCAGTTTTCTGTGGCCAGGAATCCTCGCAGCCTGGTCCCTCCATCCACACCCTTTCACACACCATGCGGTTGCCTGAACTGTCCCTCCTCCCCGGGATAGCAGCGCTTCCTCCCTTGGCCTTCCACGCTGCTGGCCTCCCTGAGGGGTGTCTGCCTGCCTGCCACGGGCCTGCACTAAACCCCATGTGGGCTCTGTCTTGTTCCCTGTGTGCCCTAACAGCGCCCCCACCACGGTTGCCATCTTCCCCCACAAGCTCGAACCCTGACCTCACCTAGTGACTCCCACCTAACTCTGCTTTATGACCAGCTCCTGAGTACATGGACAAAGGGCACATTCATGGCTTAGTGCTCCTGCTGACTGTAGATGCCAAGAGTGGCCGCCCCAAGTGCATCTCCACACAGAGCAGTGGCAAGTGTGACCCCTTCCTGGCTCACCCATGTGGATGGCCACCACCTTCCATGCTTTATGTGGCTCTCATTTATAAGAAGAAAATAGTCACTGCCAGAGTCAGGGATTATGCAAAGTATCTCTGTTCAGCTAAACACCCCAGGAAAAGAGGCCTTTTAATATTGCCATTGCCGGAGTGTTTATTTCACACCATCCAGGATGATGGGTATTTTGCTTGTATTATCACATGCAACTCTCCTAAGGGTCTTGAGATAGCTCATTTGACACATGTAGGGTCCATGCAGAGAGACTGAGTCACTTCCCTGCTCTCACACCTCAGAGGAGGAGTAGCTTAGACCCACATCTAGACCACTGGATGCCAGACTCTGGGCTCAGCCACTGCTGTCTACTGCTGAGCCTCAAGACACCAGTTCCCTATGGTTTTATCTCTCATTGCAAATTAACAAGCTGGTGTTTGGTTCATAAGATGACTCGGAAGTGCTTAGGGCTTGCTAACAAAAGAGCCTTGCCACGCCAAGGTAGCATTGTCATCTTTGGCTGCGAGAGCTTCCTGCGGAGTTCCTTTCCAAAAGGAGCAGCCCTGGGCTGTCCAAGGACGCACCCTGGAACCTGAGCACCCTCCCTTGCCCCCAGAGCTTCCACCCATCAGTAAAGTTACTGTGCTATGAGATTAGAAAGGGCCTCACCTGTCCCTCATCTCGCCTTAGCTCTGGAAGCGAGGGAGGGGCACTGCAGGCTCCAAACAGCTATAGGAGAAGTAAGCTGCCACCTGGATTCCCGATAAAGAGGCGTGGTTACTACTGCAAGGAATAGCCTCCTCTCACTGCCAACCTGCGTGCATCAATGCCAGGCATGATGCTACAGTTCAAAGCAATAAAACCCTCACTGGAGCATATTAAAAGGCCTCTTTTCCTTGGGTGTTTCGCTGAACAGGGATACTTCGCATAATCCTTAAAAAATTGTCTGCCAATCCCTAAGGCATGACATGAGTCTCGTGCCAAGAAAAGAAAAATCAAACATTAGCTGTACATCCAGGGCATGACACTCACACACAGCACACACTCAGAGCTTTGTGGCTGGCTGGATGAATCAGAGACCTTTAGGGTTTATGTGTGGGCTACACTTATTTAAAGAAACAAGAGGCTCCTGGTAAGCACAAGCCCCAGTGTGTTCAGTGCAGACCATTTAAGGTGGAGCTGCCCAGGAGGCATGTGAAAGGTTAGTTCTGGGCAGATAGGGTCCCAGCACTAGGCACAGAGGGAAGGAGCCTGGTACCTAAATCCAAGGTGCAGGAAGTGTTTGCTGCCCAGCTTGGTCATAGCTTTCCGGGCCAGGTCATCCAGGTTTCGGGAGCCTTCATCATTCACCGCCACAGAAAGGATTCTGCCATCAGGAACCGCATTCAAATACTGGACCAAGCGCTCACTCTCTTTCTTGGACCTGTAGGTGTCAAATCTGAAAAGGGCAGAGAGAGGGAGAGGATGTGGGTAGTCTCAACAGCATCCCAAAAGGGATCTAAACATATGTCTATGTCACGAAAACTAATACGCCATTCAAAGATCCCACAGGCTGGGATTCTAAACAAAGAAGTGTTTTTTAAAAGAGCAAGTGAGTAAAGGAACTTTGCACAGCGTGCAGTATCCAAGAAGGACCTGACCTTATCATCATGATAATCCATGGGTAAGTTGCCCAAGACATGATGATTACAACAGCAGGGACCTCAAGTGTCGGTCGGGTCACCTTACTCTGGGAGCAGGGGCTCCTGCCTCTCGTGAGTGCCCAACTTGAGGAGATAATCCTGACACCTCATTTATGGGGATTTCTATCACTGCTTGAGACTGAAACACTTCTCCAAATTCTCGGAAATGAAACAGCGAGGATTTCCCATCACTTCTCCCACCCCTTGAGCAGCTTGTTTATAGTTTATGGTAACACAATTTAGAACCATTAAAATGTCGTCAATGATTTACATAGTAGCAATGATAGAACCCTGTACTGTTGCAGTCTACTTTTTTCCTGTTTATCGTTTTAAATCATTTTACAGTGTAAGAAGTCTTATCAGTAAGTTATCCTTTTTATAAAATTTTAAGTGTACAGTAAATTATGGTTGAGTGTAGGTACAGTGTTATGGAACACATCTCTTATGGTAAGAACAGATCATCTCTCTAACTCCATTTTTAAATTTGCTTTTGTTTTTGAGATAGGTCTCACTATGTTGCCCAGGCTGGCCTAACCTCCTAGGCTCAAGCAGTCCTCCTGCCTCAGCCTCTGGAGTAACTGGCAATACAATCACAGGGTAAGAATTTATCATCTCAAAGTTGACCAAGATAACCCTCCCTTCTACAGTATATGTAAGATATGTAGGAAGTGCAGACTTAAAAAAAAAAAAACTACACCACTGTTGAGAAAAATTTATAAAGGAAAGACAATTGGTAACAATCCAAACTCATTCACATAAATATAAAGATTTTGTGCAACTGCAGTGGAAAGAATTTGTCTTGGAACTTAACAAGCAACATAGTTCCAAGATGATTGTAGAAAACCAGCCAATGCAAATGGCCAAGGAGAACCTGAAAAAGAAAAACAGAGACGTGCAAGCAGTAGCTGGAGAGGTGCTCCTGGTGCCTGCTCCTGGGTTGCCAAACTTGTCTAAACTCTGCATAACCAGGTCCCGCCCTGCCTCATGCCTCATCCCTCACCCTTACTGGCCCCTAGGCCCCACCCACTGCCAGGCTGGCCTTTCTGAGACCCACAATAGTGCCACATGCTTGCTGCTGTCTGTCTCTGCTCAGCTCAGCCTCTTCCCACCTGATCGAGTCCCTGCTGCTTTTCCAGAATGCAACAAGTTTCCATGCTTCTGGGCAGTTGGTCAGGTGACTCTGGCTGTGTGCATGCGTGTGCATGCATGTTAGCTAATGCATTTGCTTACATGCTCAGCTATCAGATCCTTAAGGTCACCAACGTACTGTAGCTAAGGAGCTCTGGAGCAAGCAAATACCCTGCTTTAGCAACCTCCCCAAGCAGCTTCTGGAAGGCCTCTGGTCTTTCAATGTAGTAGTTCATTTTAATTGAAGCCACACAGCCACAACGAGCAGCACTGTACCTACTGAGGAATCAGTCTTGATCGAGGGTTCCCTGACAACCATACTCTTCCTGCTTCATCCAATGGCGTGGGGTTGCTCTACCTGGTCACTGTACAGAGCTATCGCCAGGATGCAACACAGATCTAGGTTTTTATCATGGCTCCATCCCTTCTTAGTCTAGGACTCTGGGCACAGGGGCCCCTCATCCAGAGAATGCAGGTGCTAAGAGAAGGTTTGCAAAGATTAAAGCACAGAATATTGTACAGACAGTGTGCAGTGGCTGTGCTGTGACCAGCATTGATTCAGGGTCACTTCAGGTACACTGTGTCCCAGCTGGTGCCTGAGGCCTTTGCATGGACACTCGTGGCTGTGTCCTGCTGCTGGGAGTGCCACTTCTCCCCCAGCAGCTCAGCTGGTGCCCTGCATTTCCACTCTCAGTGTCCTGCCTGGGGATCTTTCCCTCTGGCACTGGGATGTCCATCTCTGGTAACTCAGCTACTTTTTTCCATCGCCCTCTGTGCCTTTCCCCCGTGTTACCAGTGATTGCAACCTGAATCCAGTTTGCACATGTGTGTGTTCTTGTTAAATTCAGCATCTTTAGACAAGTGCTTTGAGAGAACCACATTGTAGTGCCTCGTGGGACACGAGTTCGCTGTGTCATGCTGGAGGAAGGTATGTGTGTGTAGGCGAAGGCCACCTTACCTATCAGAGTGGATGACTGTGCCAGATTTGGGGTTGATGACATGGACAATGACTCCACGGTGGCCCCAGCTCCTTTCAAAAAAATAGCCTCCCTCCTCCATCCCCCCTGGGTGGAGAGTCTTGCTCAGAAATGTCCAGGAGAGCTTCTTCTGGCCGTGCAGTTCCAAGGTGCCACCCCTGTCCACACCGATGTACTTCAGCCCATAGTAAGGGTCTGGCTCGATGTCTTCATCGGCTCTGTGAGAGAAAAGCTCCAAGCTACAGGCACAGTACCTTATTGGATGTGGCCGAGTGCCCTGTTCCTGAGCCCCACTGGTCCTAGGCAGCTGGTCATGCTTTGGTAACAGCTTGGTAAATACAGCAGTGGTCACCTGACCTCTGTACGCCAGGCCAATAGGAGGCCCCAGGGACCAGCAGAAAAACCTGTGAGTTTGTACATTGCTGCTTCTCCTCTCCAGGTCTAAGTCTGATATTCTGGGCCACAGCGGTGGTGGGATCATTGCACCTATGGTGTTAGGCTTGCACATTCTAGGTTATTGCTGCTGAAAACACTACACAGCCAGGGGCAGCTGGCATGTGACATTTTCCTGTACCTTGTCCATCATAACTTATTGAATAGATACTCGAGGCTCCAGAAACAACGGCATGCATGGGAGGTGGGGAAAAGGCTGGCAGGGACCTTGGTGGCTCAGATGGACACCAGGGCCATGGTAGATAAAATGCCTTGTGGACTTCGGCCCAGTCACTGAGCGCATCTTGTTCCCCACCGCAGTCTGGCAGGACAATGGCTCCTGTCTCCTGCTAGAACCTAGCTCTCTTGGGTCCCTCTCTTCTTGCCTCCCCCATCAGATCTAAGAACAGCATCTGCCACCACAGGGATTGGTTTTCCCACCTTCCATACAGAATGATGCTGAAATTGCCCTGGAAAGGGCAGAGGGCACTCCCAGCATGCAGCTCTCCTCCACTGTCAATCAGGATGTGGCGGGTGCGCAAAACAATGGGCTCCTCGTGGTCCTTAATGATGAGCTTGCCTGAAGAGGAGGATGATGGGGTGAGGTTTGGGCACACAGTGGGAGGGTAAAATTGCAAGGAGCCCTGGCAGACTCCCTGAGCCCCCGCCTCAGCCAAGCAGGTGAAAAAATACTCCTTCCAAGGCTGCTATTCAGGGCCACTCAGTAAAGAGTTTCCTTGCTCTTTTTACCAAGAATGGGCCAGCCTTAGTCATTCCTAAGTGCTCAGAGTTGATGGTTATCGCAAAATCTCTGACTCAAACCCAAAGCATGTAGCATTCATTCCTTCTAAGGACACAGCAGCTTGTATCCTCCATGAGGCTCTGGGAGAGCGGCACTGGCTTACCCCCCTCGGAGATGTTGATGGAGTGGACTGTGGCAGAGGAGGCAAGCAGCAGCGTCCTGCCCTTGCCGATGTGCACGTGGTGCTCCGGATCATGGCCAGGATTCCAGAGCTGCAGCTCAGGGTTCTGGTCAGGGCACTCAGCAACCACTGCCAAAAATAAAGAGGTATCACTGCTTGCATCCACCAGCATCATCAAGCGAAGACTGACCACAAGGCAGGAGGGTGTTTTACATCTTTACGGCCCCTGTTTCTGCTAGAGCCAAAAGCAAGACCTTAGCAATCAGAGCCACCCTGATCTAGGAGGCAGCAGCCCTGGGGTGTGGCCCTGTGTTTCTTGTTAGTTCGTCATGTGCCTACGAATAAGTCACTTCCCTTTCCTGGGTTCAGTGTCCCCTTTACAAGGTAGAAGACAGACCAGCTGACCACCCAGGACCTTCCCAGATCTGAAGTCATATAACCATTTACCCAGATTGCTTGGATTTCAAGATATTCTGACCTCAGGGAAGCAGTATTTACAGAGAAGAGGTAACAAAACTCTTTTGCATGAGAATTTGACTTTTAGTAAATTTTCTAGCTCTGTTCTTAAAAGTTAAGAAGATGGTTCTATATAATCTAGGTTACTAAGCATCATGGCTTATAAGAAAAGTGACTCCTGACTGGTAAATGGTCCTTAAACTGGGCAGAGCCAGGGATGCTTTATTTTCATGCTTGGTGGTGATGCAATGTTGTTGGCATACCTGCATGTATAGAATCTTATAATCAGACACATGCCTTGCAGGCACTCTGAGAGTGACATTTAAGAAGCTGCTTTGAGAGATACTGGCTCTGCTGGGGCATGAGGCTACTAAGCCAGGGTGGTTCCAGTGACAGTCTTGTCCTCCACCCCCCCCCCAACTCTTGAGCTGTGACTTAGGGGATCAAAGAGCATAGTTGGATGACTATGTGAACACCGCCACTCCGTGAAGGAGAAATACCAGCTGCCCCTCTATTGGCAGTCTGTCCTGCCCTACTGGAGTCTGACAGAGGTGGCAGGTGGCTGTCTACAAGGCTCCAGGGTAGGTGCTGCTTCTCTCTGCCTTGCCAGAAGCCCTGGGAGACATCTGCACTTTCATGAGGCTAAAGAAGGTATGCTCCAGCAGAGTGGCTGCTGGTGGTTGGGGCATATGGTCATACGGTGCTTGTCTTAGGACCTAGAGAAGGTGCCATAGATAGCCAGGGGGATCCAGAGGGGAGGATAGGCAGGGTGAGCATGTCTGGCTCACTCTCCTGCCTTCTGAAACTAGATTTCAGGATAACCTGATGGGGCAGTATCTGAGTCACTTTCCTCATCTCTGGGACACAATACCTGATACCTGCAGTTTAAAGGGATTTATTTTGGCTCATGTTTTAGAAGTTCCAGTCCTTACATGGTCAGTGGCAGGACAGAAGGGCTGGATGTAGTATAAGTACTCACCTATGGCAGCCAGGAAGTGGCGAGAGAAGAGAGGAGCCTGGGAGGGAGATACTCTTTCCCAGGTCACAACCCCACTGACCCACCTCTTCCAAGCAGGCCCTATCTCCTAACAGCACATGCGATTATAAATCCATCAATGGGCTCATCCATTGATTAGTACAGTGCCCCTAAAAATCCAGTCACCTTCCACAAGTCCCTGCCTCTGAGCGCATGAGGAAATCTAGATGGACTCCTTACAGGTAAGTGATGGCCAGTCAGCCTATGGCAAGGCCAGGGGAAGGTGGTACAGGGAGGAGAAGAGCCAGGTCCACAGCACAAGGCTGAGGAAGGGGTTGAGGAAAGATTTGGTCCAGCAGGTACAGGGGTGATATGAGTCACATGTACCCTATATGGACTCTAGTTTCTCTGCCTTTTCTTCAGTTGTGGGAGCATGATGTCATTCACATATCTTAGTATCTCAGGGAGACCAGAAGGGAGTCACCCCTTTATCTAGCTCCACCACACCAGCAGGATTCCCCAAGTCCACAACAGCCATAACTGTTGCCCATACGAAACAAAGCACAGTGTAGACACTTCACACAATTGTAGAACCCCATACCATCCACCCACATCAGCCACAGTGGTTGAGGAATCTCATGCTCATCTGTTATGATTTATGCACTCAGATGTGGGGCTTTCGGGAAGTTACTGATTGTGGGAACATTATAGCTCACTTGCTGTAGGAAGGTGAAATTGGGTCAGAAGAGGTAATCACAAGAGTCTATCTCCCTCCACAGTTCTTCCCTTCCCTTCCCTGTCTGCTTCCTGGCCATTATGTTGTGAGCAGCTCTCCTCCACCCAGGTCCTTCCATCATTCTGCCTCTGAATTGGAGTCAGATGTGAGCCAAAATAAACCTCTCCCTTTTAAAATTGTGGGTGTTTGCAGAATACTGAGATTAAGGATAGTAAACTAATTAATCTGGTGGAGGAAATTTCAAGACAATTCAATATTCGAGCTATAGCATAGATAGCACTTGCTGTTTTTAGCCAGGTTTGTACTGAAACAAGGAAAAAGTTAATTTGAATAGTTTTCAGTTTCCTCAGACAGAAAGGGGCAGATTTTGGCAGAAGGCTTTTTTTTTTTTTTTTTTTTTTTTGCTGAAAAGATTAGCATTAAAAATAAACCAAGTGATCTGCATTAGGAAAATAGGAAGGATGTCTTGCCAGCATTACAAGACTCGGCAAGAGTGTTTCTTTTGCACTTAAGGGTGCAAAGCTGTAAAGTTTCACTGAAAAGAAAAACTCAGGGAGCCTAGCTTGTTGAGGACTAACTAGAAAAGAATTTCTTGAAGTTCTTAAGAGTGCAAAGCTGTAAACCTTTCATGTGAAAAGAGATCCTCAGGGAACCCAGCTCAATAAGATCCAACTACAAAAGAATTTCCTGGAGTTCTTCCATCCAATCACACAGAGGCTTCTGCAGCTGTGATCCAAGGGAGCCCAGCTATTGCTTAAGCTGGCAGCAGACCTTGGCATCATACATGTAGTACTGGTTTTATAGGCATAGGAATACAAGAGTTGTGGGGTCAGGGAGGCTTTCATCCAGGTTTCAGAACATGCTGTACACTGGAGATGGTCAGCCTCAATGGATTTCAGTGTATGGATCAGTGAGGGGCTGAACAAGCAAGCAGTTTTACTGAAACATCACCATGGTAACCACTCCCATTTCCCAGGAGAGGTCACGTGATCCCAAAAAACATGGGGCATGGATAGCAAGGGCTGTCTTCTGCACAGACAAGAGCTCAGATGGAGGTGACAGGGCCCAGCAAAAGGTGGAAAGCTGGGTCTCAGATGTGTATTCTTTTTGACTAAAACCCTCAGAGTGGGTTTTGAAAAAGTTGAATTAGATACTAACGTAACAACATGTAGGGAGTTTTTATATAAAAATCTACATTTCTGTTCCTCTTAAAAATTCACATGCCATTCCACAAGGTAGCAGTTTCAGAACTAGAAAGTGGTTGACACTTTCAAGGGGACCCTCTGCCCTGGGGGACCCCTGTGCCTCCCCACCCACCCCCCAGACCAATCTTGCAGCCCAACTCTATACAACCCATCATCCTGTCAGTGAAGAGACAGCGGTCCAGGATGAGACTTGCCTAGGGTCTCAGATTCTGTCAAGGATAGGCCAGAGTAAAGCCCCAACTGCACACTGTAACTCCTCCTGCACCCCCACTGACCACCCCACAGCCTGGATGGCCACTGTCTTCCATGCAGGATGGCCGGTCGCACAGCCCCTAGAGGCTCACCTTCAGACATGGCCCCAAAGAAGAGGATCAGGATGAGCCATGCTGTGGCCAGCCCAGCCTTGAGGGGTGTGTGCTGCCTCTGCCTCTCCACAGCTCCCATCCTAACAGACAGTTCCCTGAAATTAAGAACAGGCATCAAGTGTGATGACAGACAGACATACACACACACACACACACACACACACACACACACACACACACATACACGGCAGGGACGGTGCATTCCAGCCAGCCCAGAGCACAGGCTCAGTGCCATGATCCAGGGCTGGGCAGGTTAGAACACGCAAACTGTGCCATCATCCCACCATGTTCCGCAGCTCAGACACGGTAGGCACACAAAGCCTCCCCCCAGGATGAATGAATGAAGCCTTTCCTTGAGAAACAGAGAAGATAAAAAACAACTTAAACCGGAACATAAACATAAACCGGAAATGAGACATCACCAGTTTGCTGTGTGATCTCCGTGGATTCATTTTACCTTTCTGAGTGTTGGGATCCCAAAGGGCAAAAGGAGAATGTGGACTGATTTCCAACCTTTACATCATCAATCTATATTTTGAAAGCCAGTCCTGGAGGTTTGATCATCTTCCTAGCACCTGCCCAATGGGGAAGGTAGGACAGGTAAATTGCCCTCAACACCCACTTTGTTCTTTTTCTTTAGAGACAGATGCCCTGGTGTTCATCTGGATACACAGCCACTGAGAATGAAGCGCACCCTGACCAGTCTCCTCTATATGGCCCATGAATCCCATGAATAGAGCACAAGCACTGGAGGTGCGTAAATTCCAGAAAATGCCCTAAGGAAGGGTGGGAAAGTTACTTCCTCCACTCTCCTCCCCGCTGGTTGGAACACAAACATGACAACTGGATTTTTCACAGCTATCTTGGGCCCCATAGTAGGGACCATGAGCTGAGAACGGCAGAGCCTGGTCCCTGTGAGGCAAAGAAATAACCCTGGAGGATAGACTTACTTTTACATTTTGAGGGAATTAAAGTCCTACTACATAAAACTTGTATTTTATAAAAGCCACTGTTTTGTTTTGTTTTTTTTTTTTCCTTTTCCACGTAGAGGGTGAAGTGGGGCTCACAGATGCTGCCCTTAAGCCAGCTCAGTGGTGAACCTGACCGCCTGTCTTCTCCTCGCAGCAGGCTTCTGTGTGCACTCTGAGCCTGGGCAGGCAGAGGGCTCCCAGAGGAGCTCCAGGACTGGTCCCCACAAGTGCACGGGCAGGGCAAGGGACAGTGTCCTCATATGGGCACCTGCCTGCCCAGATTGATTCCCAGACAGAACAACAAGCCCTTTCTAGGGCTTCAGCCAGCCATGAGGTCACATGGCACGGCCCTGGGAAGCAGTGCCTTTTCCACCCCCATGAAGACATCTCTGTTTCACACTCTGCACAGCACAAAGGAGGGGAAAGCAGGACAATGGTGTTCCTGTGGTCCTGGGGCAAAGCCAGAGCCAGCTCTCTTCAGTCTCCAAGTGGCTTGTCCTCCACTGCCAAGGAGCCCACGTCCTCGGGGCCCACTCTGCAGAGAATGGGCCAGCAGCAATTCTGTACAGGGACTGGAGGTGGCGCCCTGAGGCCCCACCTAGCCAGCAACGCCTGTGAGAGGCAGGCTCTGTAGCCTTACCCTTCCCGTGGACGGAGAGAGGAGGGTGGTAATCATATCTGATGAGGTCATGGGTCATTTCAAAAGCAGAATGATAAGGACAGCCTTCCTAGGTAGATGCAAGGACAGCTGTATGTAAGATGTGACACTTGACCTCTCCCTCTAACATGAATGAGGCTCCCATGGGTCACAGCCAACTGTCCAAACTGTGGGAGGCAGAGGTGGCCCTGCCCAGGAGCCCTTGGTGACAATGACTGTGCTTTCCTGCCTGTGACTCTCCCTGCCCGAGCACATGTGCCCTGGGGTGCATGCCATCCCCAAGAATCTCAGATGGTTCCCTGAGTTCTCTTAGGACTTGTCCAGCAAGGGTTTCTCTACTGGACACTGAGAGCTTGCTGGTGGTGGAGTTGGGCCCAGCTTCTCAACTGGCAAGGTGCTGTGGAAACAGCTCTGGCTGCGGTCCTCAGGGCAGTGTGCAGTCACGATGTCAGAGCCTGTGCAGGACTTGGAGATGAAGACTTGGAGGTGCAGTCATAATGGCCCTTGAAGGGTGGATGAATGTGGCAGATGCAGTGTGAAGGGAAATGCAGATGCTCCTTGAGTCCTCCCAGGAGCCAGTGCAAGTTTCCAGGATATTCCACATTCCCAAGTCCAGCTGCCCCTGGCTTGGGCTCTATCCAGCCTCCCAGGCCCAAGGTAACAAGGCACAATCAGGGGTGGAGGTGTTGCTTCCTGGCTTCTGACTTTTCCTTGGCTCCCAGGTGCCTGGGCTCTTCTTGTCCCACAAGGAGCCAGCTGCAGCCTGGAGTTCCCACATGTCACCTGCAGAGGAGAAGAGACAAGATGATAAGCAATACAGGGACCTCCAGGGAGGCCAGCAACAGCACCAGGTGAGCCCACCCAAGACATCACAGCCTGGGGCGCAACCCAGCCTTTGCCTCAAGGTCAGCCCTTGGCAGGACTGGTTGCATGGGAAACAGAGGGGACTGGGAGACTAGGCAGCTTTGAGGCTGGATGGGAGCTGAGGCCTTTGGGGCTTCTTCTGGGGTGAGAGGTAGAGGGGATTGTGGGAGTCATCTCCCACCATGCAGGGAAGTAAGTACCTTTTTCTCCTTTTCATGCTCCTGCCATAGTGTGCTGCTTCATCACAGACCAAAAGCACCAGGGCCAACTGATCATAGACTGAAACCGCTGACACTGAGCCCTAACCAGCCCTTTCTCTGCATCAGTTAGTTGCCCAGATGTGGAAATGGGAGCACAAGGTGTTGCATTTGCTAAAGTTCAATCGTTAACAGATGGCCAAAGTCCAAAGACTGCTTCTTCTCCAGAATTGTGCTTCTAACTCCTGATGATTAACTTTCACTATAACCACAGAGTCTTAGAATACAGGGGCTGGCAGGAATATGAGAAACCCAGCTAGCATGCCTCTAAACTATATGCATACAGAGTGACTCCAGGTCAGCTGGCTACACTGCAGGATGTGATTTGCAGGTCCGGGGTGGGGCTGAGGTCCTGCCGAGGGTCACAGGGCTAGTTGGTGGCTGTCTGGATTTGAACCCAAATGGTACGGCTCCGGAAACCAGGCACAATAGCCCCACCTCCACTATCTCTCACTCGGCCTACAGGAAGAATGCTCTGAGCTGAAACTGTGCCCCTTGAAGACAAAAGCTGACTGTGAAATCAAGCTGCAGTGTAGGAAGGGAAGGAACGGAAAGGCAGGAAAGAACCTCCCTAGCTCTCTCATAGTCAAGGAAGCCTAGTGTCACCCCATCTATAAGAATGGGGTTTCTGTCCAGTCCAACCTCTAAATCCATGTCATGGCTCCTGGAGGCCCAACGGGGCTGCTGAGATTTTGTTCCCTGAGAAGGGAAAGCCCCGACACCAACAGCAGTGCAGAAACCTCTAACATGCTTGGCTGGAGCCTACCATCTTCTTCGAAATCAGGCAGGGTAACAAACCACACCCAGTCCCTCTGTCTGCCTCTACACAACTCTTTAGTCTCCTGATCCTGAAGCAGCAGCCCAGGGAGGAGAAGGAGGGAGACAAGGGGGCTCCAGGGCCCTGCTAATATCATAGGTAGACCAGGCAGTAGGTATAGCTCTGGAGAGGCCTCAGTCACTGTGCCAACCTTGTCTCTGAGCAGCCACGACTCAAGGGACCCCAGAGGCAAGGACACCATTTGAGATTTAGAGAAGCACTAGGAAAATGCTTCCAGTGTGAGCAGATCCCTCCCTCTGAGAGACTCCAGCCCCGAGCTCTCATGGCTGCTGTTAGGTCCCCCGTTCATCAGCTGCAAAGCCCCAGAGTCCAATGCCCAGTGTACACTGCAGATCCTAAAGGCAAAGCAACTTGCAATGTAGTCTCAGGCTCATCAAAGTATGACTGATAGGAATATGACACCTACACACACTAGGCAGCCAGCATATCAGCCCCTGAGGGAACTGTTAAAATGCAGGTTCTCACTCGTAGCTCTGAGCTGGGGCCCGGAACTACATCTCTGGCAGAAGCTCATGTTCTGAGCAGCCAGGACCATGTTTAGCTCACCCTCTTCTGTCCATAAACACAGAGACTGAAGCCCACAGAGAAAGAGAGAGTTGCTCATATTGATCAAGAGCAAAGAAATGGAAATCTGAACCCATGAGAGGTCAGAGTCCCTGTCTGCCTCCGAAGTATGGGCCATGGGTCATTTTTTCCTTCACCCTGCTTGCTTTGGAGGAGGGAGAGGAAGGGAGAGTTGGTCCATGCATTGCTGTTTCTGTTTCATTTGAGATGCCTCTACACGTCAGAGTTTGGGTAGTAAACACGTGCCTCAGGTACCCTCTATCTACTCATAATTATCTTTCCCCCAAATACACCTCCTTTGATACAGGGAATTCCCCCGGAGCCACCTGCAGAGCCAGAGAAGAGATGCTACAGCTCCTGGTAATAACAGAAATTCCCACCACAGATCCGTCCCATGCCCAAGCAGAGCACACAGAATCCTGTCCAATCCTGCTTATCGTCAGTTCCAAACCCCTTATCCCACTACCGGATCAGCCACAGGGCTAGTGGCTTCAGAGCCTGTGCCAACGCAGCTGGGGAAGGTGGCTTTGCAACTGTCCTTCCTCCTGCTCATCAACGCCCCTGGCCTTGGCAGCCACCAGGGACCTTATGCTAGTACTGTGGAAAAGGAAGAGAAAACTTTGTTCAAGTGCCCCAGCTCATCTCCAAGTACCAAGAAAACCAAGATCTAAAAAGTGGGCACAACCTTCCTGGCCAGCTATGGATTTCCTAACAACTCACTTATAGCTAAACACAGAAGTAAGGAATTCAGATCTCAGATAGATCTAAGCTTCCTTTGTTCAGAGCCACGCTGCCCCATCCATTAGCCACTAGGCAGAGGAGCTAAGTCAGCTTAACTAAAATGAGACAATACTAAAAATCAGCCCTCGCTTGCAGTAAGTACATTCTGGGGAAGCCATAGCTGTATGTGGTGCATGGCCACCACCCTGGGCAGCGAACCTGGATGACCTCCATCACCAGAGACACTGCCACTGGTCAGATCTGGTATGGAGCCCCAGTGCTAGGTAGTTTAGAAAATGCCAACTAGAGCTGCACTTCTGCTGGGAGCCATGGTCCCCAGGTGTTGGCCTGACAGTAGTATTGGCACTGTCGGTGAACTGTAGAGCACAGCTCTGAACTGTGGACCCACCTGGTCAGAAACTTCAGAAGCAGGCCAGCAATCTGCTTTGACAAGCACTCTAGGGGCTACTGAGCCTCTCTGTCTGGGCAGAGTAATCTCCCCACATCCTGTCCAACTCTTGCTTCAGCCTTTCATCACTCAGGGCTTCACTGACGTCCCTCTACCCCCACCTCCGACTGAGCCTCAACTGTCTGTCTGTGCTGCCTTTATACAGGGTGCAGGGGACAGGGGACCCCGGGAAGCCATCTCTAGCCTCCCTAGCATGAGAGGGAGCATCTGAGCACATGCACCCGAAGCTGTGAAACGCTCCACGGAGGGGTGGGTAGTGCAGAGACCTGTGCAGCACACAGCCAGGGGGCCAGCTCAGCCTCCAGCACAGGGCTTCATCTACACGGCACCACCATGGCGTCATGAGACCCCACTCTCAGGGGCCTCATCTTCCTTCCTGAATGAGGCACCTGTCTGTCATCCCACACCATCAGGTGGTGTGTGAGCAAGTGAGAGAGGTGACATTATTCTGCCCGGAGGAGGTCCTCAGCATCCTTACAGGGCAGTGCATGTGAGTAGGTGTTCAGGGACAGTAGCTGTCACTTAACTTCAGAGACAAACTGGCCCCGAGTTCCCCACGCACTGTCCATGGAAGGCTACTAGGCAGGGGGTAGTGGTCAGGTCGGATGGTGCCAAGAGCATCAGATGGCAGAATTCAGAGACTTGCAGGAAAGATGAGTCCTCTCCTCAAGTCCTGTCCTCTCCAAGACAGAGCAGGCACTTGGGGCTGCCTGACCGACCACTGGTCACATGTCCGCCAGCTGATTCTGTGTACTCTGCTAGGTCAGGTGGGAAGTTATTGTAGCCATAAACACTTCACTGATTGTATTTTCGAACTGAAAGATACTGCATCAGCTGTGAGCGCAGCATTCCTCCTGGCCTGAGGCCGCCCTGTGCGTGCCCACTTGTTTCTGAGGCTACAGAAAGAGTTCTCCCAAATGCCCCTCCCCTGTGTCCTCTTCTGCTACCCCCTGTCATGGCAGGAGGAGACACAGAGAGTGGCCTTGGGTTACTCTGAGGGTCCTCTCCAACACTCTTCCCCAATGAGTAGCCCCTGGCTGAGCGGAGAGAGGGGGATGGAGTCCATGCAGGATGAGAGGGAGGACTGGGCGGATGCAGCCTGGTGCCCAGGGCCGCAGGGATCTGCTCAAGAAGCGGCATTGGTGGAAGGCTCAGAGCAGGACTCTCTCCTGATGCTTGGAGTGGGAAGACCCCTCCAGGATAGCTTCATGCCCAATCTATCTAGGGACTACTGGTCAGGGAGGAGGAAGAGGGACCTCTCAAGTAGGAGTCCCCTCAAGTGTGAGGGACCTGAGGAGCTCCATGAACACCAGTGAGACCTCCGATTCCTGTGCAAGGAAAAGCAACAGGCAAGGGGCACTGGGGAGCATCCAGGCCAGAGGAGGGCAGGACGGGAGCAGCTGGGGGCCCCGCCAGGGGTGCGGACAGCTGGGGTCTAGCTGAGGGGGCTCAGTAGGGCAGGAGAGGAGAGAAGGTTTGGGGCCTCACACAGCAGATGGTTCCTTGGTCAGCAGCAGAGACCCTCCCAGCCCTGTGCCTCATTGATGACCTAGTTAGTCAGGGAGGCTGGCACGGAATCACAGGACAGGCAGGGTCCTCTGAGGGTTTAGGACCAAAGGTGCTTCACGCCCTGGCCAGAGAATATGCAGCTACAGCTCCAAGGAGGAGAGAATTGGGCGCGGCAGGGGAAGGAGAGTGGGGAAGGGCAGCGCCTGACCTGGGCCTTCCACGCCCAGGTGTCAGTTTGGGTTTTTGGCTTCCACTTCCTTTCCCGACATTCAGTTCCAGTGGCACTGGTCCACTCTCTCAGCTCACTACAGAGCTTGGGACCACCAGACCAGTGAAGAGAGCCATTGCCCTGGCTGTGGGATTCATTCAGAGATGGTCACACAACCCAAAATAAAGAGCATTGACCAGAATTATTGAAAAAGTGGGTTCTCATCCCTGTGGTTCACAATCCCTGGACTGCTGGGCCATACGTGCCTCTATCTTGTGAGAAAATGAAGTGTGCAGAGCCCAGGGAGGGCGGGAGGCAGGGGAGACTGGGTCACCCAGATCCAACAGTGCCTGAAGCTAACCCTACCCTTGGAGCTTTCAATTACATGTGTGAATAAAGCTGCTTTTTTATTTAAGCCAACTTGACTTGTTTTTGACATTTACTGTGGAAAGAGTCCGACTAATAAGGAGCCAAAGGGGAAAGAAAGATGAAAGCTCCTTATGAGTCCCTGCTCTCATAAAATGCCCCTTAGACAAATCATATTACTTTCCTGAGAGAAAAAGGGTTCCTTTCCCCTATGGGGCACATCCCCAGCAAAAGTGGACCACGGAAGGAAGAATGACAAGGTCCCAGCCTCTCCTGCAGTATCTGCCAGCAGCATCTGAAGGCGGGCTCCGTAGCCTCACCTGCCCCACCCCACAGAGCAGCTGGCATGGGTCACGGCAGTCTTGGCTTCCTGCTGGTCTAGACTGCAAAGGCCTCGTGGGCCCTGCAGGGCTGGCCTGCTCAGGCCTCATCTCATCCCACTCCCGTGCATCATGCCAGGCCCCTTCTCTTTTCCTGGAAGATGTCAAGATCACATGCCCCAGGGCTTTTGCACCTGCTATTCCTACTACCTGGAATGTTTCCCCCATCCCACCTGCCTTCAAGCTCAGCTTTAATCTCCATTCTGATGCCCATTCCCATCTGAAGATGTCCTCCATCAATCAGTCTCACAGTGTGGTTGCTT